AAGCCGCAGCCTTTGTGCAGTGATATCTGAAAAGAGACAGCTCAGGTTCAACCCGGATATTTGAAAGAATCGTCTTGTTTTATTGCGAACTCAGCTTCAAAACATTTCAGACGTCAACTGGATAACGCACATATTTATACAGAATTACACTAGATTTTAAATTTGCTGACAGGAATGGAAGGATCTTAATGGCAGCAGTAGGTCATGATAATGTGGGGACAGTCTCACCTCTATAATAAGAACGACGTCCGAAAATGTTACGAAATGTCAACTGGGTAACGCTTCCCATAGACTCCATTATAAAATCAAAATCAAGCAAGATAAATCAAGTTTTCTTGCTTTATCCAACATGTTAATGCATTTTCGTTCATGTTCAATAGACTATAAACATCAACAAACAATCTGAAAAGTACTCGTTATAACAGACGGCGGAGTGTCAAGATTAGAGACACATGTATAACACCCCCAGAACGACGTCACTGCAAAGCGTCAATAGTGTGCCTCATTACAATAAAATTATACGCATGGGAATTTATAAATTGGTCAACATTTAATCTACAACAGCTGCCAAGAAAAACTGGTTCACTGAGATTGTCGTTCACATTATGGTCATTGTTTGTGAGCAGAATGGAAAACGAAAGTAGTCCGTATCTTGTTCTATGACAATTACTTCATATGTACTTCGTGTCTGAAAGCAGCACACGTTACACAGAACATTACAATGGACTATGCTTCAGATTAATCCTGTCACAATAACACATTTTAAAGCACGATATATTGCTACAGAGAGATGTAACAGTAAATTACACTATTGAAACTACTTTATGCCTCTCATACAATAACAATAAAACAGAATAATCCCAGTAAATCATAATTTAAATTGACAGTATCATTAGCTGCAACAATCAAACTGCAATATGACCTGATAATTCACCATAAAAGTAATTTATGCAACCCTCTACAGCTCAGATCTTATCGTATTAAAGTGGTCACTTGTTTATCGCGAAGGTTACGTTCTAAAAATAACCCGCAATAGGCGAAATCCGCAGCATAGTCAGCTTTATTATTATATATGTCTTAAGGCTGTAAAACACTTTATACACTTTTCTCACACAGGACACTTACAACCCTTTCTGCATCCTTCTTAAAACTTATTGCTGCTGTCGTCCTCATGTTATTTTCCTCCTTCTTTATGTAACGAACTGAAGATTAATTTATTACGTAATGACGCCTACAGCCGCGTAACTTCTCCCTTTTGTTTTTGTGTGATGGTTTGCATCTTCCTCTGCCTTTTGGGTGCGACCGCAGGAGGCTTTGTCGGTGCAGAAGGTTTCGTCGACATTGTGGGTTTTGTCGGGGAGAAAACTTGCAAACGTACAGCACTTCAGAATCACACTGCTAGAGATCCAACATTTATGTAAACTTGGAAAGCTGAACGCATTCTGTACCGTACAGGAGACACGGCACGGAGGAGATTGATTGACAATGGTCTACAGTCCCTTAGCCAATCAGGACGCAGGGGGAGGAACACAATACATGCAAAAATTCGAGAAACAGCGAGGCCGTGAAAGGTTAACCGCGTCATACTGAGACACGACTGTACAACTAAAATAACAAACAACTCCCCATTATTGCAAAAATTGACACATGATAAACATTAAGCCTAAAAATATACTGTTCCAGCTTTCATATATTGAATAATAAGTTAGAGTTACTTCTTTTGAACATTTTAAATTTTAAGAAAACACAACATAAACATTCAAAACATGTACATTTAAAGGTGCACTATGTCACTTTCTGATCAGGATATGTCATTGCTCTGCCTGGAATGTTCCACAGTATGACATTACACAGCTCTGCCTGATATTTATTCAATTACAGGTGGATTCAAAGCTCAAAAATACCTAGAAAAACTCAGATTCTCCACAGATCTGACCTGTAACTTGGCCTCCATGATAGAAAGGTTTAATGCCATACTGCGAAACATCCCAGAAAAAGCAATTACGTGTTCATGGAGAAAAGCAGGTGACGGATCCTCCACCAGAAAAGTTACACAATGCACGTTTAACAAAAAAAAAAAAAATAGTTGGTTCTTTAAGTCCGTATAGTAATTATGGTGACAGGCCTACTTCAGATAGAGACAAAACAGACCACAGCAGCCTGGTGAAAAGAGACTAGTCATTAAAAAGTAGAGCTAAACACATCTCCCTGAGCTCTGGGCACACGTCCTGTTTGAGGCTTGAGTTTGTCTCTAATGTGTAATTTTAGTGCCATGTGTCCTTGTGCAGCCCAAACATGTCCCTCCCTCAAACCCAGAGACTCACAGCACAGATTCTGCTCTGCTCCGTCTGACGGTTTCCTCTGGAGATTCAGTCTCACCTCCACACGCCAACATAAACAGGTCAGGTCTAAATAGGCCTGTCACCATAACTAATTTAAAACTATGATGTATTGCTTAAGAAAATATAGACGATATACACACGATAATATTTAAACTAATTTATGACACTGACACACTAACTCTAAAGCTAAATTATCTAAAAAAAATATTGCAAATGTGTAATGTGGTTAAAATAACTGCAGTACATAAATAGCAGAATGAGGCTGTATCTATAATAAGTTATAGATGCCTCTCTCTACAGCTCAAATCTAATCATAGAACAGGAAAAATAATAGGAGTTCCCCACCAGGACTAAGAAAAAGCACCTACCCAAAATATCTGTTAGATATTGAAAGAAAAGTAGAAATAATTATTTTTAGAGGCCTACATCTAAAGTCACATCCACTTGACTTTGTTCTGTCAGACTGAACACTTCTGAATCGTTTTCCACAATCTGAATATGAGACAGACTTAGTGATGCAGTGGGACCATGGCACACCAGTGGCACATGTCACGACTCTCTGACAAAAGGAAACATTCCCACAGACTGCAAATGCCCCAAAAGGAGCGGGGCACACGTCAACAAAGGGGGCGGGGCTTACCTTTCACCTGCTCTGCAGCAGACTCCACATCCAGAGGGATCGGGGGAGCAGCCGTCTCACCTGCACACATAAAACAGTATCAGTTAGTTTTAGTGTGGACTTAGTTTTCACTTCAGTAAAATCCAAACAAAGTACGTGGCTCTGATTCTGCTTTGCTCCTCCTGGTCACACCACAGACACTGAGGGAGGAGCCTGTCAGTCCTCAGAGAGCTGTGAACATCTCCCCAGGCAAAATAAGCTCCCTGTTTGTCACCTGCAAACACAGCGCTGTCATTCAGCGTCATTATTGACTTTATAATCTACAGTCACTGCCACCGGCAGTTTGTATGAATACAAACCAACCAGTGAAAATGGGTCAACGGAAGGCCCGTGTTAAGGATAAGAGTCTAGGAATCTATGGAGGCAGCATGTTTACTGAGTAAACAGACAGTTAACGCTCAGTCAGGGCACAAACACACACCCAGAGAAGAGTGTAGGACACCAGAGGATGGAGCTGCAGGCTCTGCACGGTCCATTTAACCACATGGACAACACCACTGTGCAGAAAGCATTAAGGAGAAACTGAATAACATCATATAATTCTCTATCTATCTGTTTTCTGTGTTCAGTACATAAAACACAACAGATTATGAATTTTCAAATAGTCAAAACACAAAACCTGTGATATAAATTTCCCTGAGCATTAGAACAAGTCTTATCTGTTGAGTGTGATCTAACCTAAATAAGAAGTGAACTGAGAGAGACTCTGTGGGCTGACAGGAAAACAAGCCCACAGCAAAGAGTCAAGAAAACATAATGATCTGGTTATAAGTCAGTACAGCGTATGAACAGAGACGCTACAGAAGCAAACAGACAAATCACAAAACTACAGCGCTCTGGAGCTGGCACGATTCCCAAAGGGTCAGAGGAAGGTCTCCTTTACAGTGGCTTCAATTAGAGCCAACAAACAGAAGGTGTGAAGACTGGCTAGACGCTATTAGAAGTGTTGTTTACATTAGTAAAACTATTATTTTTAATGTAAACAAGCCCGTAATAAGAGTCACTTTTTATCAACACAATTACATTTTATCGACCTTTCACTAGGGATGTAAAAATAACCCAAGTACTGTGATATTATATCGTCAAAAGTCTCACAATAGATATATGTATTATTATATTTCTATATTTTATGCATTACATTATACACACAAGCAATGCACAATTTTAAGTATTTTTTCTGCATCTTGCAAACTACAATTTACAGACAACTCTCCAACAACAAACACAAACTCACTGCACGCTAAGCTATTTCTGTCCAGACTATTTTAATATCAAATTCATCCCATTTTTCCACCCTAGAGACTGTCCTGTGTTCAACCCGGGACAGCACCCCTTCTGATCAACAGCCAACTAGATCTGGTGGGGCTAGATAAGGTTGCTTTTTTCCATTGCCATTGAACTTCCATTATAAATAAATATGGAGCGACTACAGTAGAGAACAGTTACTCATATCTGGAGCTGTAACGATATCCAAATTAGTCGTTACAAACCAAAGAGTTATGCATAATAACAGTTATTTCATTGTGTAAATTTGACTGAAACACAGCTAAGAATTTTTGTATATGTAGTTCTCTGTTTCTTTTAGCTATTGCTGCACCATAACAATGAATTTAAGCAAGAGATTTTGATATATTGTGATGGCCCATTATATTATTGACAGACTTCTGACGATACAATATCAAGACATTTTGGTTATTGTTACATCCCTACTTATATCAGCGTCCCTCTATAGTCTAAAATTCTAGTAAAAAACATGGAATAAACATTGGTAAAACGAAATCTCAATTTGTTGCTTCTTCATTCTCATAAAAAATAACTAAAGTGTTCAAAATACTGCTTAAAAATGTATAACAAACTGTATTAAAAAAAATGATCTAGAAAGTATTTGTTCCATCACAGTCTGAAAAAAATTCATGAGAAACACTGCTCATACTGAAAGTCCTGCATCAGTAACACAAACATTTTGTTCAGTTGTAGCAGTGAAAGGGGGAGGACTTTTAAGATAACCACAAAGCACGTGTGTCTTTTTATCTTTGCACAGTGATAAAGAAGCAGAGACACTGTAGAGTGTTAGAGGTAAGTTAAAACTCCCATATTACACAAAAAGTGACTCTTGTGAGCTTTTAGTCATGTTAGAAAGTTGGACACTGTGTTGTTTCATTCACACATGTTTGAGTAACCCTTTATTATAAGTCTGTTTATATCTCCAAAGCTCAAAATGCTCTGTAGTTTTCAATTTAACAACTACCTTTTTGTACTTTTTATGTGTTTGGAAACTGGTATTCTATTACCAGAAAAGGAAAATGTTTAATGTTCACTGTGGTAATGTAATCAAGTATCGGTAAGGTTGAATTTTTTGTATCATGACTAAGGGTGTGCAAAAATATCAAAAAATATCAAGAGTACTTTTTTGTTCTATTTTACTAAATTATTTTTGTTACAGCTACAGTCTAGTTGCTTGTTTAGAGGAAGGAAATTCTTTTATGCAACACATTTGACATATTCACTGTTTTGATGATTATTGTAAATAGTTCATATAGTTTAGTTCAAAATGTCTGAAAAATGCAAAAGAAAGCTCATTGTGTCAGATTCAAAGAGTGGGGGTGAAATAAATAAACAAGTTTCCATCTTCCCACTTGTTTTTGGGCAAATTTTTTGTTGTGGCTATTTTCATTTCTATTATGATTTCACTTATGTTATATATTTCATTGTATAAGAATGTAAATCTCTACTTGCCCAAAATAAATACATAAAATAAAAATAAAAAAATTAAAAAATGGGTGTGTTTCATACTATCTTTGCACAAGAAATGGTTTAACAAAGACTTTTAGTATCACAGCCATGATTTAGCTTTTATTTTTATTAAACTGTATCAAACCGAAAGGGCACTGTATCAAGATATGTATCGTATCATGACCTATGTATCGAGATATGTATCGTATCGTGGCCTATGTATCGAGATATGTATCGTATCATGACCTATGTATCGAGATATGTATCGTATCGTGGCCTATGTATCGAGATATGTATCGTATCATGACCTATGTATCGAGATATGTATCGTATCGTGGCCTATGTATCGAGATATGTATCGTATCGTGTCCTATGTATCGAGATATGTATCGTATCGTGTCCTATGTATCGAGATATGTATCGTATCGTGACCTATGTATCGAGATATGTATCGTATCGTGGCCTATGTATCAAGATATGTATCGTATCATGACCTATGTATCGAGATATGTATCGTATCATGACCTATGTATCGAGATATGTATCGTATCGTGGCCTATGTATCGAGATATGTATCGTATCGTGGCCTATGTATCGAGATATGTATCGTATCGTGGCCTATGTATCGAGATATGTATCGTATCGTGGCCTATGTATCGAGATATGTATCGTATCGTGGCCTAAGTATCGAGATATGTATCGTATCTATGTATCGAGATATGTATCGTATCGTGTCCTATGTATCGAGATATGTATCGTATCGCGTCCTATGTATCGAGATATGTATCGTATCGTGGCCTATGTATCGAGATATGTATCGTATCGTGTCCTATGTATCGAGATATGTATCGTATCGTGTCCTATGTATCGAGATATGTATCGTATCGTGTCCTATGTATCGAGATATGTATCGTATCGTGTCCTATGTATCGAGATATGTATCGTATCGTGGCCTAAGTATCGAGATATGTATCGTATCGTGGCCTATGTATCGAGATATGTATCGTATCGTGGCCTATGTAAGGAGAAATGCATTGTATCGTGGCCTATGTATCGTATCGGCAACTTCTTAATGATGCTCAGCCCTACACTATTATTAAAGATGCACTGCGCAACTTTTCTAGTGAAGGGTCCACCACCTGATGTCTCCATGGAAATATTATTGCTTTGTCTAGAATGTTCCACAGTACAGATTATAGCATCTTATATCAGTAGGCTACATTACAGTTCAGATCTGTGGAGAGTCGCCGTATTCACAGAGGAAATTGATTGTATTTTTGAGCAACAGAAACACCCGTATAATAATAATAAATGTTCGTTAGATGTTGGAACATTCTAGGCAGAGCAATAACTAAATCAAGACAAATAGGCAGCGGACTCCTTCTTAATATAATATTTGACTGTATCCGATCTCTTAACAAACGTTCCATGTTTTGAAACAGGAGCTGGGCTGATACATTGCAGCGGTGTGGTGCTGTTAAAGGAGCTGCTCGGTGCTGGCAAAGACGAGCAGTGTCACAAGTTTCCTTTTAGTGCAACCTAAAACACCCAGCTCTTTCTCCAGTCACCTGACTCTCTAACCACAGAAAACCACCCTCCACTGTCGAAGAAATCAGCCCACCAACGTCAACCAACCAGCATGAAGAAACCAGATACATTTTGAGATGTTTTTGTCGGAAACATTATGAGTATTTAAACATCCTATATTACGCAAAATTGACTCTTGTGACATTTAAACTATGTTATAATGTTGTCACCTCCACCAAAAACATACCGGAGTTGTGTTTTGTTTCCTTCACATGTTTGAGTAATCCTTTATTATTAGTCTGTCTACATCTCCAAAGCTAAAAATGCTCTATTCCACCTTGTGATGTCATGACGTGATAGTTTTCAAGTTAACAGCTAAGGCTTTGGAATTAATTGAATTTTGATTGTGATTTCGATTTGTGTGTTAAACGATCTCCAAACTCATAAAATCAAGTTGATACGATACAAATTTTTTATATAAATAATTATATTTATTTCATTTTTTTGTAGAACAGCTGGATATATAGTTTATTTTGGATACATTTATATTTTTCTATGCCTTATTTCATGTTCAAATATATTTAATTTTTTATTTTTTTGTTTTATGCATCGCAAAACTGCTCTAATGTTATATTCGTAGCCTATATTTATTTTCAATTTGAAAGTTTTGCGTAAATTATCAATAACAATGTGTTTTTTAGACAGAAATGCTGAATAAATGCATCGTGTAACTAAAAAAATAATCGTTTGAATAATCGTGATTTCAATATTGACCAAAATAATCGTGATAATGATTTTTTCCATAATCGAGCAGCCCTATTAACAGCTGCCTTTTACCTTTTGTTCAGTATAGATTTGCAATTCAGTGAAAAAAGCGGTGAAATTATCCATGAGGATTCTAGTGAAGGAACAACATTTATTATCACATGACATCACAAGGTGGAACAGAGTGTTTTCTACTTGAGAGAAGAACGGGATTTGTGTGTTAAACATTTGTGAATGAAACAAAACAAACACAACTCCAGGTTTGCTTAAAATGAGAAAACAACATTATAACATAGCTCAGAAAATAGTGTAATATGGGTCTTTTAAATTTTTAAATCAGGATTCTTATCAAATTTTTTGTCTAATTAATTTCTTGAACATAAACTTTTAATATTATCACACTATTCTGCTCCAAACCAAATGCTTTTACTGACAGACTATTCAAAAGATCCAAGCTGTTCAATAAAAAACACTTATAATAAAAATTAATGTTTACAAGCATTTTGACAGAGCCCCTATTGTACGGTTTATATGAGCATTTCCATTCACGCTTTCTTTTATATGGGGCCATTTTGAGGACAGTGGACCATTCAAAAGACAGAATATCTTGTTTTGAATTGTTAACTTCCACAGTAACGTTCTTCATTTTCGTCTTTCTGAAACCCGTGGGTACATTTGAGCAGAGATAAAAAGGTACCAACAGGAACGGTTTGTATTCTGGGGAATTTACGATGGTTCTAAAACTCTAAAAATACTTGTAGCTCTGCAGCGGTGGAAGCCTCCAGGGTCAGAAGGTGGTTGAAGATAAACTGAAAAACTGCAATAAACAAAAACTGAAACTATGTGGGATGTTCAAACCCAACATGATAGAAAAGACTGAGACTACAACCACATACACCATCGATCAAGTAGTATTTATTATAATGTAATTTTATGTGTTTTGGTGCTTTGTAAGCGTTGGATGTGATGTTATTAAAGCTCCGATACGACACAAAATGAACTCTTGTGAGGTTTAAGTCTGTTAGAATCAAAAACAGACCTGGAGTAGCGCGTGGATTGGACCGAATTTTTCTGTCCGAGCCCAGCCTGCGTTTGACAGAGCAGTGATCGAATCTGACCCGAGCCCCATAGGCATTAAGATATTTGTGTGTTCAAACCCGACACAATTAAAATCACACTATTTTCACAGCCCTACAAATGACACACATGGGATATTGTGTCATTTCTGGCCTTTCACGGACACAGAGACGCAAAATACAAACTCGGGATAAAGCGAAAATAAAGAGAAGACTTTATTACTCAAAATGCAACGTCTCATCCACATTATCCATAGAAATTATCCTCCGCAAATAATGACATCCAGTCCACAAAACCGCACTGTTAATCCAGTTTGAGGCGTTATTCAAAAGTAAAAAGGCAAGAGTAGTTCCTCGTGCGTGTTTGTTTACATCCACACAGCACACGGATCGAGGTGAAGCTGCAGATTCACAATAGTGACTCTACTTCTTGTGCTTCTTATGCTTTAAAAAACATGAATCTGAAGTATCGCACCACATTTCACAAATAATAATAACACAGTTTTGACTTGTATCTGAACTAAAAGTGCAGTGCTCTGATCTTTTGAACACTTAAGAATCTCAAAGCGAGTCGTTTTTACTGTAAACAGGAAACAGTTGACGCGTTAATGTGTCCGAGTCCGACGCGAGCCCAAACATAAATTGTAAATATTTATTTTGTCCGAACCCGCCAGTTTCCGTCAGACTTCGGTCGGGTTTCCATGTCCCAACCTGGACTAACCTTTTCTTTAGGGGTGCAACTATATCCAAGTCTCACGATAAGATATCATCACGGTATGAACCTCACGTTACGATATTTATTGCGATATCGTGGGAAAGCTCACTATATGGTGGGGAGGCTCGATTAGGGATGTAACAATATCCAAATCTCTCAGACGATATTTTCATGATATACATCTCAAGGTACGATATTTATTGCGATATTTTGTGGAGGATAAACAGCTAAAACTGTGAATATGCTACTTTATCTTCTTAAAATGCCTTGACAAGACTTAATCCAAAGAACTAAGACTTAAAAGTGCTTAGAACTGTTATTTCTTCTTGTCGTCTGCACTGAAATGGAGCAAAGGATCATGGTCTATGTAGTTTTCTGTCTTTTTTTAGCTATTGCTGCACCATATGTGAGGGTTTCATCCTGCCCCTCCTACCCCTCCCTTCCCTGCTCTTTCTCTCCTTACCCTATTTGGTTTTTCCTGAACGGACCCCAATCACTCACCTGCTGAGCTCCACTCCTGATCCTCGTCAAGTAATCACCTCCTGCAATAAAAGACCTGCTGACCTGCTCTCCAGTGCCAGATCGTTCCCATCCCAGTGGTGAACTACTCAGGCTTTTTGTGATTTTTCGAGACTTCCAGAGGCTTTTTGATGCTTACCCGTTTATTTTGTCCTATCCCCAGCACTTCATTTGGAGCCAGCCTCATCCCGTTACCACCAGTTTCTTTAAGCCTCCAGTCAGCCTCCATCTCCACAGACCTCCCATCTGCAGCCAACCCGGACCCGTCCTGCCTCCCCTGGAATCTATCCCCCCGCCAAGACTAGTTTTGTGAATAAAATACTTTTTTTCCTTCTGCATATTTGGGTCCGACCAGTGATTCCATAACACCATAACTCTTAATTTAAGCAAAGAGACTTCGATATAATTCGATATATTGTGATGGTCCACGATATTATTGTGAGAACTTTGACGATACGATATCACAATACTTTGGTTATTGTTACATCCCTACTTTCCTTATCAGTTTCTCTACCTCTCCAAACGTTGAAAATGCTCTGGAAGCAGTAGTTTTCAAGTTAACAGCGACCACTAAGCTTTAGTTCTATACAAAATGGCAATTCCATGGCTGAAATGATTCAAATTATTCTAGCAAAGGTGTATTTTCTAAACGTGTGATTGAAACAAAACACAACTCCAGGTCTGTTTGCAATGAGGAAACAACATTACAGCATAGATCAGAAAATAGCGCAGTATGGACGCGTTAAATAAAACTTGGGGCACAGACTTGAGCAAGGAACAGACACAAAAGAGGCACGTAAAAAGCATTTTCTCTCTGGGCCCAAGAGCCACATTCAGAGCAGAGCAGCATTAACCCAGAAACCCTCCAAAACCCTCCTCCTCCCTGAGCCATGCCAGTTTTAAAGAGCTCTCCGCGCTACTATAAAATAAATCAGAATTCACTACCAGCTTCTATGGCTGTTACAATACAATAACGCATTTGAAGTGTGATTTTGTTCTACAAAACACATCTTGGTTACACTGAAACGACTTCATAATGCTGCAATTCTAAAGCAGGAACAGTCCACTAAAGTGTTTTCTATTGTTAAAACCTGAGATGCAAAAAAAAAAACGCAATAGTACTGGGTAAGAAAATTGTTATAGAAGTTAAAGGTGTGTGTTGTAACTTTTCTGGTAGAGATCCAGCGTGTGTTTGTATCCATGGAGAAATGCTATGGAGATTGCTTTCCCTGGCATTAAACCTGCTGATTATTTAATTATAGATGTGTTTTTTTTTTTTTTTCCCACAGTAAAACGATCCCATGAAAAATATGTGTTCTCCCATAAGCTGGCCCACCTCTCCATGAATCAGATGTGTAATATGGCTTGGTGCTTGTCTCCATGGAAGTAGATGATTCATCAGCCAGTTTCACTTCGTGGAAACCGCCAGATCACTAGGATTCGTTCACTCGATGGTAGGCGATTACTTTTTTCATTTAAGCAAACGCTGCTATTTGGTTGTGACGTGTGTAATGTGCCAGAACGCTCAGTGATGTCCAAGTAATTGCCAGCAAACAAAGCAGGGAGTGAACATGTCTGTCAGTGATCATTGTTGTTTCTGCGAGATGAGCTTGGGAATTAAAGGTGCAATAAAAAATGTGAAATTTGTATTTGACAAAGGAAGTCCAAAGGAGAACAGCGTACACAGTCTGCTATCGCAACTCGGGTTGGTTCTGGCCAACACACTCCTTGAGTTTGACGTTATGGGTTCACTGTTCGTCGCTGATTGGCCGGTGCGCGGTCTACAGTTTCTGGTGTTCTTGCAAACCGTCTAGTGTATTCCGACGGTCGCTGAAGAGAAATTAAATTGAGCAAATGCACTAGGTGACACGAGCCTGGCTAATGTTTACTGTCATACTGTGAAAAATGTCAATATTCAATTCCACGGAGTTACACAGTGTTACGTTAATTAATTAACATCCAACAGCTCAAATGTCATTATGTTACAAGAAACTTCCCAAGAAATTTGTTTTTAAAAATATACACATGATTATTTATGGACCATTTCAAGTCGATATCATAAATATTGTGACCTAACACAGAGGCCAAAATTAAAAACTGGGACTAAGTCGTGAGCTAAACTAAATACTTATTGAAAAATGTCAACAAGATCTGCATGTTTTCTCTTTTTTTGAGATATGTAATGTTAATTCTTATTCAAATAAATGTTTAATAATAGTTTTGCTTAAACACTGAATCCAGAACAACCAGAATAAAACATAATAAAAATTTTAAATAAATAATGTCTCTATAGTCGATCTGTAGCCGGTGGGCAGCTCTAATACATGTTTGATATGATCTTGCAGGCCAAATATAATTAGATCGTGGGCCTGAGTTTGACATGTCTGGCGTAAAGGGTTCGCCACCAGCTTGTCTCCATGGAAATGTTATTGCTTTGTCTAGAATGTTCCACAGTATAGCTTTAACCTATCTATCACGAGGGAGACAAGCAGGTTACAGCACTTCAGTACATTACAGTTCAGATCTGTGGAAAGTCGACACTATTCACAGAAGGAATTATTGTATTTTTGAGCAAAAGAAACACAACAACGAATCAAAGCTAGATGGATCTGTTTAAAGTCATACCGCGGAACATTCCAGGCAAAACAATAACACCTCCACGGAGACAAGCAGGTGGATATTGTCGGGGATAAATCTGCTTTATGATTTGGTTTCAATATCGCGCTTTAAAATTTAGTAGCTGTGGCTGAAAATGGATCACTGTCCTCTTTAAAGGTCAAATCTCCAGTCGAAGAAGCTTTCGAGCACGGCCTTAAACTCGAGACATCTGTTGCCGTGGTTTCCTCCTTCAAAAACAGCAATAAAAATAAATGCCACTGGGGTAAAAAAAAAAAAAATAGCATCATAGCATTGCCTCATCACTCTAGCCTCATTTGCTGTAGGTAGGGCAAATCTGCAGTTCCAGTTGATAGGCTTACGGGTAAAGACTGTTAAAAGCTTCCATCTGATTAGTAAAAGGTAGACTGTCTGGAGTAAAGATTAAGTCTTAAAATAGCACAGAATCAAAGCAGCAATTTCAACCAATTATAACTCTATTTTTAGCGCACTTAATGTTTGTTTCCTCGTCACAAACATACCTGGAGTTGTGCTTTGTTTCATTCACACATGTTTAAACACACATCTGTACACGTCTGCAGCAGGATTCATATCGGTGATTGTGCGTGTGTGGATTCGCTGGAAAATTATGGCGCCGTTCAGACGATCTACTCATAGTTTGGAGAGTCTTTTTTTTGGCCTTGTGTACGCAGCCTTGACCGCGCCTCTAAACCAGAACTAAAAAACTGAAACCAGGACTAAATCAGGAATAAAATCAGGTCTAAACCAGAACGAAAACCAGGACTAAACCACAATGAAACCAGAAGTAAAACCAGGACTAAACCAGAACTAAAACCAGGACTAAAATCAGGACTAAAACCAGGTCTACACCAGGTCTAAACCAAATCCAAGCCAGGACTAAATCAGATCTAAACCAGGTCTAAACCAGGCCTAAATCAGTACTAAACCAGGACTAAAATCAGGATTAAAACCAGATCTAAATCACGTCTAAGACAGGACTAAACCAGGACTAAAATCAGGACTAAAACCAGGTCTAAAACCAGGTCTAAACTAGGTCTAAACCAGGACTAAACCAGGACTAAAACCAGGATTAAACCAGTTGTAAATCAGGAGTAAAAACAGGACTAAACCAGGTCTAAATCGGAACTAAACCAGGACTAAATCAGGAGTAAAACCAGGTCTAAACCAGAACTATAATCAGTATTAAAACTCATTGTAAACCAGGTCTTAACCAGGTCTAAACCAGGACTAAACCAGGACTAAAATGATCTAACAACATTATAACGCGGCGTAAAGCTCACGAGAGTTAATTTTGTGTAATGTAAGTCTTAAGTAATTTTGCAGTTTTTCAGTCTAGTCATGGGATAAACACTGCACCAAATTCTCAATCTGCATCACACTAATCATAGACTTTCTTGTTTTGGATGGGCCAAGCGGCAAATTAAAACCCGTTTAGAAGAGTTTAAGGAGCAGTGGCGCACTCAAACTAACCAAACAGTGATTGAGACAAGGATCACAAAGGACACTTCAGCATCTTCCCCAATCTGCACTTGACTATGAAGTCCAGACTGTCATTTTGTGAAGTGGATGTGACCTTCCTGAGGCAGACGTAGGTAATCTGGACCCGTGAACGTGGCTTCTATATTTAAACGTCGTCAATGATTCATGCTGTTTTGGGGTTTGTCTAAATTTGCTCCTAACCCAAATTCAGACGAGCGTGGAGGCAGAGGAGAGGAAGCGACACATTATGCAACTACAGATCTGCACATAGAAGGACACAAACACACTATCAGCGGGAATTTTCTAGAGCAGGATCAAAAATAAATGTAAAATGTTATGTTTTCGACACCGTGCAGCTCAGGCGTGCGTAAACATCCTGTTCTCTGGAGGCTAACGACACAGACTGTACAGAATATGCTTATTTTATCTATTATATCACGCAGTATGGGAAAGGTTGTTGATATTTTGGCTTCTAAAATAGCCTGCAGTTGTGAGAAGGACTTAAAAATACACAGCAGGACTTGTAGCGCTACAGCCGCAGTGTTCATAGTTTCCATCCACAGAGGCTTGTTGATGGTGGCACAGACGCTGTTGTGATCTGCCCGAGAGGTGATGAGCTCAGCCACATGTGCCCACGTAAATGCGAGATGACACACACACGGGGCGTCCTGTGTACGTGCCGCTTGTCTTTAAGTACGTGCCGTCCGTCGCCAAATCCACGGCGCACACCGGCGGCTTGATCCATGGATGAGGCACAGACGCATGGGCATCGTCACGCACGCTACACGGAGCTAGCGCTTTAATGCTAGCCACTACCCAGTCAAGACGAACCACCACTCACCAAATTCCTCCAAATGATGCGACGTTGCACAAGATCTCCACCGGCTGTTTCACAAAAATCACCATTTATCCCCCCGAACCAACCAGAATGCGCAAAAACAAACCAGCGTAACGCACAAAACAAAAGTGAGTGTGGAGGCTGAAATGGTAAGTTATCTGCTCGCGACGTGTCAGTGCAGCGTAGTAAAAGCGTAATAACATGTAAACTTACTCTGCGTCGACGAGGACCGACTCAGACTCTGTTTTTTGTGTTTATATTCCCGTTTAGCCTCATAGCAGTCGACGGGGAGGCGGCGGAGCGGTGCAGCGCGGAGAGGAGCCGCGCAGGGCTGTGGCGCACGGCTGGAGTCTGCAGGAGAAGTTGGTTCGTTTCAACATGGAGAGAGTGAAGTGGCACAGACAGTCCTGCTGCAGCCACACGGGCTCTGTGGCGCCCTCTGTGGGTGCACACGAGTATGGCGTCTGTTCAGTTGAAACAAGGCAGCACAAGTGCACATTAAATACTGCTCATTACTCCCACTGCAGGTATTATGCAGCTATTATTTCTCATCATCAAAAATCTGTGTATTTTTAGCAGTGCACACAAACCAAAACTGAAAAGTGTGGTTACCTATGATTTAAAAGTATTGTCTTCATAGTGCACTTTAAGTTTTCTGGTGGACAGGCTGTCTGTCTGTCTTTATTTATATATATTTTTTATTATATATAAGTTTATTGTAGTAATTATTGATTATACTTAATTATTAATATTGCAGTAACCACACCACCTTGTGATGTCATGTGGTAATACAGTCCATTTTTAAACTCCATACACCTTCACTAGAATCATTTGGATGATGTTGGCCCTGGAATTGTCCATTTTTACTGAAGGGTAGCTGATTACTTGAAAATCATTTTCAGTTTTGGAGATGTACACAGAATGATAATAAAGAAGTACTCAAACATGTGTGAATGAAACAAAACATAACGTTTTTGATGAGGTAACTGCATTATAACATGGTTTAAAGCTCACAAGAGTAGGATCTTTTATATAGAAGCATTAAAAAATGCTCAACAGATTTGACGAGGAGCTTGCTTCTCTTTGTGGAGATGAATATGTTTAAAATGTAAAACATCTCAGGCTGAGGAATATCATCTCTATAGAGACATACAGAAAAGTTACATTGTGTGCAGCTGTGGTGCAGGTACAAAAGTCTTGCTTCATATGAAATAATCAGCCGTTAATTGGCAGAAAACTTCAAAACTCAACAGCAGCTTTGCGCACTTGCCCAATGTCAAAAAATGTTTCTTATTTTCAGATATTTTCCAACTGTGTCACATTATCATCTTTCTACTTTTGGCCACGAACGCACCTAACTATGACTTCAAACATGTTTTTTTCCATACATGACATGAGGTTAGAGCGCAGGTGCTCTACCGTTAACCCACTGCCACCTCTGCACTTAATTGTGTTTCCTCCATGTCTGTAAATCGCCTTTTTGTGTCAAGAGACAGAAACAGAACTGCCATTATTAATTCATTCATTTCAGATGGACTCAGCAACTTGCAGAGTCGAAAATACTTTCAATAATGCAAAAGTGTGCTGCATTTTTCCTCTGCAGAAAGTTAAAGTCGGGAAAGCCTCTTGTTCTTATCTGCTTCTCAAATGTGTTATTAAGAGATTAAGAGATGGAAGAAACTGTTTAACTCCTTAGTAACAGCCCTGACAGATAATCATACTGATACTTAGGAGCTGAAGTCTTCAACATTCCCTGGGAATGTGAAGCTAACTGGAAGCACTACTCTGTTTGGAGCTCTGTTAGACTTTAATCTGAACTTTGTTTTAACAGAATCTGACCACAGGAGCTGATTTGCGCTCCTAGTCTCTTTCGAATAACATTTCATTCATAATCTATTAGTTTTTCAGTCAGTCTCACCTTTTTGTTGAAAATCGAACACATAAACAAGACCGTGAACGCTCGTGTTCATCACCGGCTCCTGAAAATATGTGGTTTAAATCAATTTCGTGTTTTTCCTTGAGTTTCCACACAACCTAAAATCGCAACTTTTCTTTTTAGCAAAACTTTGGCCGTATTGCACCAAACAGCATGAAAATTGGCCAGTTTGTGTGCAATATTTTGTGATGTATTTTTAATTTATGTGTTTTTTTTCAAGATCACATTAATTAAACTGTCTATAATCAAAATACTCACAGCCGTGCTCCTTGGGTACACTTTTGTCCCATTGACTTCCATTCAAAATGACTGTTTACTGGAACAACTTTGCCCGTTTATTTTTACTTTTTTATTTATTTTTCATTCGTTGGTGTTGAAAATCCTTTAAAATTTTTAGTTTTAGAGTCTTTTTGATACCAATAGAAAGACATTTGTACATATTAGTCCACACTGAAGTCCAGAAACGTAGATATTTGATGTAAAAATGATATGGGTGTGAGTTTTTGTGTGTGCAAATTAAAATTAGTTGGAAAATATAGAAAATATCCAATTGATTGCACAAAATAAAAGGTAATGTTAAAGAAAATTTTAAAGAAAAGCATGTGTTTAGTAGTCAATAGTTGTGTGTTGTTGTTTTTGGTTTTTCTCATTAATCCGACCCTCAAAACTTAAACCCCCACCCAGGTCCTACATACACAATAAATATATAAATAACAATCTGCGTTGTACCTTTTTTTTTTTCATTTTTACCATTTGTACCAGTGGAAGCACATTCAATTAGAAAATTTGCCTTGACATCCTCTTGAGAAGGCTGTAAATATGAGGGTTTCTTTCTGCCTCTCCTACCCCTCCTTTCCCTGCTTCCTCTTCCCTTCTCTCGCCTTATTTGGCATTTCCTGGGCGGGTCCCCAATTCTTCTCACCTGCTGAGCTCCACTCCTGGTTCCCATCAAGTAATCATCTCCTGCAATAAGAAACCGGCTGACCTGCTCTCCAGTGCCAGATCGTTCTGTCAACTCAATGGTGAACTACTCAGGCTTTTTGTGTGTTTTTTTTTCTGAAGATTTTTATTCTCACCTGTTTCTTTTGTCCGTTCCTCAGTTCTTCCGTTTGGAGCCAGCCTCATCCCGTTGCCACCCGTTCCGCAAGCCTCTGGTCAGCCTCATCCCCGCACACCTCGCACTTACAGCCAACCTGGACCCGTTCTGCCTCCCCTGGAACCTATCCCCTTTCCGAGACTATTTTTGTTACTAAATACTTTTGGTTTCTGCATATTTGGGTCCGACCAGTGATTTCCTTAACAGTAAAGTTATAATGATTTGACAGATTTTGTTTATTTGATTATAGAGAATAACTTTGCCTGTTTATTTTTACTTTTTGATTTATTTTTCATTCATTGGTGTTGACACCCCTTTAAAAAATTTTTGGTTTAGTGTCTTTTTGATACCACTAGAAAGACATTTGTACATATTAGTCCACACTGAAGGACAGAGATGTAGATATTTGATGTAAAAATTATATGGGTGTGTTCTAGAGGAGTCCCAGAGTGCACTGAATGTGTTTGTTTGGGAGTGTGTGTGAGTTTGTGTGTGTGCAAATTAAAGCTATTTCAAAAATACAGAAAAAAATCAACTTTTCATTTTTTCATGCACATAATTTGAGACTTTCGCAAACAAAACTGGCATTTAACGTATTAAAATGTCAAAATATGATATATTTGGTATGTATGATTAGAGTAGAAGTAAATGAAGACACTGACATAAAAAAAAAAAAAATGTGTACTGCATAAAAATATTGTGGTTTTCTTTTTCATTGTACATTTTTGTCATGAAAACTAAGTAAGAAAAAGTAAAGATCCTACACAAATGTCACAGATTTTGCATTTAAACAACAGATATATTTAAACAAAGCATCTTTATTCTACATTTATTACATTTGCGTTGTACCTGCAAGCAATATACAAAAGCTTTTCATAACAACTTAAAACAACGGATGATTTCTGTGTTGCTTTACACTTAAGTGCTTTCAGAGTAAAATCATACAATAAATAACAAAACAGTGGCTTCAAACTTAACATCAGCTGTCTACAAAATCAACAACAGAAAATAGTACCTTCCCCGCTGAACATGTGGGAGCGTATACACAGGAAATGTCCATAGATAGACTGGATATACAACAGGAAGTGACACGTTATTCGCTGTAAGTGGAATGTACACAGGACATCACCAATTCCTGAGCTGCTGTAACACGGTCATGCCCAGTGATGGAATGGAAAGAAGTAGAAGTACTGTACTTAAGTAAACATTTTAGGTATCTGTAGTTTACGTAAGTACATTTTAACGTGGATAATTTTAACCTTTTACTTCACTACATTTGAGCGCAGGTATCTGTACTTTCTACTCTATTACATTTTTGAACAGGACTGAAAAGTAAAAGTATTTTTTATTATTAAAACACAACGGACTCCAGGCACTCTAAAGAAGTCAATTTTTTTTTTTAAAGTAGCCCTGATGAAGAGGTTAAGGTCAAAACATGTTGGCTTTGGCCATTCAAATAAAAGCCTTTGAACTAAATTTTTCCTCGTGCGATTTTTATTTTTTTTTCCACTTCTTTGGAGTGCCTGAAGTCCATTGTGTTTTAGTTTTGATCCTTTTTCCAAGAGAATCCTCTACCTGCCCCAATGATTGGAACACCTGCAGCAAACAGCCACTTTTTTGTTGTTTCTGCACAGATTTTTATTTTTTTTATTATTGTTTGAGACCTGCTGAAATGGCTCAAGGTTTATTTGTAATAAGTTCTTAGTCTGAGCAAATACAAATATTCAAATAAATATTAAATAAATGAGGGTGGGATTAAATAAGTTTTCTTTTTCCCACTCCTTTTTGGGTCAACTTTTTATTTTTTGTTGTTATTATTTCTGCTCTGTTTTCATTAATGTTATGTGTTCCATGGTAAAATAATGTACATTTCTTACTTGCCCAGAATAAATACATAAATCAAATCAAAAACAGATTAAAAAAAGATTCAGTTGTTTCTATTGAACAAAATTCTGCACAAATCTGTATCAAAATCAAAATTTGACGCTTTATTAGATCTCAAATACTGTGCAAAATACTTTTACTTTTTATCTTTATGTATATTTTTAAACAAGTACTTTAATACTTCTACTTATTTTCATGGGATACTTTTCACTTTTACTTGAGTATTTGTTTTGCTCTTTGTTTTATCTCTACTTTTACTTAAAGGTGCACTGTGTAGTATTTCTTGTGGTGGGTCCGTCAAATGTTTTTCTCCATGGAGATGTTATTGCTTTGTCTGGAATGTTTCACAGTATGACTTTAAACATTTCTATCCCTTCACCCTCCACCGTAAAAAGTTACACAGTGCACCTCGCAAAACTTGAGCACGTCTTCCACCACTGGTCATGACGTACGATAAAAACCTTCCAGTTTCAAAAGCACTGGCCTTTATCTGATCGCGATACATTCTCGTTTTAAAGTGTGAACAATGCAATTAAATATAAAATGCATCCAGTGCATCACAGTGCAAAGAGACAAAATCAGTAAGACATTGCACAATTAAAATCCTATAGCAAAATAATCACGGAAAATACATCATGAGGCTCAAACTGTATAAGGCAAGAGTAAGGTTTAGTTCTTTTTTTTTAAGTTTTTCTTTTATATAGGCTTGTCACGATATTTACAAAATTGACCAGGGCTGTAGGCAGAAATTTGGGGGCCTGGGGCAAGAAGCTTCACATGGGCCCCCTCTAATATAAATGAATAAGAAAAGGAGCCCAGAACAACAGATCCCTGGCCCTTCTACTGCCTTCATATCAGCTTATCGTTAAATGTACGAAAACTAGAACACTATATTTATTTATTTTCTTTGTAAAATAGTAGGACTTTTTGGCTACGTTCAGACTGCAAGGCTCAATTCTGATCTTTTTTTGTGAAATCTGATGTTTTTGTGAGGTCGTTCACATTTCCAATTAAATGCGACTTGTATGTGATTCTCCAGTGTGAACATTAAACGGCCCGAAAGTGTCCAGCATGTGCACTGGAGGACACAACGATGTCAACCGTAGCAAGCGTGCTCTGTGTTTACGGAAGTTGTTCAAACATGGACGTGAGCATTGAGCACCTGGAGATTTTAAAGTTCCTCTCGTGCTGAAGCCAGAACATGAACAACTTATTTGTTTTAAGGAGGAGACTGAGAAGGACGAGTTTTTTGGCCGTGGCGTTTTGTGGGACAGTCCGTTGAAAGGAACATGTGGATGCGGAGACGTAGCCAAGACTGGTGAGTGGCGATGTGCTTCACTTCAGAGACACGGAGTTCATTAACAATTTTCGTATGACGAGAAGAACGTTTGTGTACATTTGTCACTTGTTGATAACATGTAGGTGGGATGAATGCGCTTTGGCCGTTCAGACTGAAGTCGCATGTCAAAAATCAGATATGCATCGGTTTAGGAGCACATATCCAAGTGTCCTGGGTCGCATTTGAAAAAATCAGATCTGTGTCGTTCAGACTGTCATTAAAAGATCAGATACAGGTCACATAGGGGCCAAAAAGTCAGATTTGGGTCACTTCAGGTTGCAGTGTGAACGTAGCCTTTGTTATTTCTGTTGTAATACGATAAGATTTGAGTTGCAGAGGGTAAAATAAGTCACTTCATTGGCCGTTTTAGTTGTATTGTATATTTTAAACTAGCCTGATTCATCAGCCGGTTTTACTTTTTATCATTTAACCAATCGCTGTTATTTGGTCGTGATGTATGTAATTAACTGGTATATTAAGCTTTTCCCAAATCCTGTAGGAAGAACGGCAATAACGTCTTTCCCCTTGATAAAATTCACCAAACATTTTCTTTATTCCGGCTTTAAATCCTCGATCTCGGGAATCGTTGCCAACACTGAATATATGGCTCTTCGCTGATTGACTGGTGCCCGAATTCTCACTTCTGGGGTTTTTGCGAACCGTCTAGTGTATTCTGATTCTTGACCTAGTCGCTGGAGAGAAATAAAACTGAGCGGAGGCACTAGGTGGCACCAGCCTGGCTAATATTACACTGCATCACGTGGATTATCCTGCTTTATTTTAATTGTATCAGTGACATAAAATAGTTTCAGTTGGATCGTTTATCACAGTATTTCTCTATTGTTCGTCAAAATGTGATATCGTGACAGGCCTAGTTTCATCTGTGCTAAAATCCACAAAGCAAGATATGATACCTGAGAATTTAAACAAATAAAAAAACAAACATCAACAGTAAAGATGCAACATGGAACTTTTTACACCACTTTGTCTCCATAACGATGCTATTACTTTGCCTAGAACGTTCCACAGTCTGGTCCTGAGCTTATGCCACCAGATCAGCTTACAGGTCATGTCTGTGGAAAGGCGACTCTTCTTTAAAGTTTCTTGTATGTTTACTAAGGTTTTGTAATTTAATAAATGAAATAGTATAATATTTTAATGTCATACTGTGGAACATTGCAGGAAAAGCTAATAACATCTCCATGACGTTGGGCCAGAAAAGTTACATAGTGCACCATAAAAAAAATAAAAAAATGTGGTCCTAAAATTCTTACAGTTATTGAAATATAAAAAAAGATTCCCACATGATTTTCTTGAGTTACAGAGATAAAATAGGCCCATATTACATTATTTTGTGATTTACTAGTATAGTTATAATGTTGTTTCCTCATCACAAACAAACCTGGACTTGTGTTTTGTTGTTTAACACACAAAATCTGCGTATTCAGGGAAAACACTCTGTTCCACCTTGTGATGTCATGTGATAATACAGGAAATGCTTCACTGTGTTTTTGAACTCCATACACCTTCACTTGAATCATTTGGACAATTTCAGCTCAGAAACTGCCAATTTCTACTAAAGAAACATGATGTAGAGAGACTAATAATAAAGGGTGTGTAAAAATACTGAAATATCGATATATCGTATTGTTTAATTTGATGATACAGTATCGATGCAGAAAAGTAAATTTACGTACATCTTACTAAATTATTTGGTGAAAGAGCTACAATTGTGTTCACATTTTTACAGTTTTGATGAGTAAAATGGGTGTTTTTCATATTAACTTTGCATAAAATTTGTGGACTTGGTGAACTTTTAGTATCACAGCCATGATTTAACCTTTTTTTCACTGAATTATATCAAATCAATTTGAAGTAGTTGCATGGAGAAGAAGTGAGGTGCAGGGTGTACGTGGAGAATCCATGCAAAGACCGTACTTTTGAGAGGATTCACGTGGTTCAGAGGGATGTTGTCAAGGCAGGGGCCACTTGTTGTCAAGGCGGCCGCTTTAACTATAAAGTACTGCGGGAAACACTGATATCTCCGGTACTCTCCTATAGTGACCTGCGACATGAGGGATCAGGACTAAACGAGGACTAAAACAGGACTAAAACAGGTCTAAACCAGGACTAACTGTGTGCTGTGGTCCAAAACAAGAAAAATGTCTGATGAAGGCTTTTTTTGCCGAAATTATATTTTGTTAATAAAAAAGCTTTTGAACATCGGCCAGCCGAGTGTGCTATGCATTTTTTCACCCTTGTCTGGCTGCTCCTTGCATTTGCACCTCTACAAGAATTTTGGTGTGCGTTTTCTGTTTATTTTGACTAAACCAGAACTAAACCAGGACGTTGGGACGGGCCCGGAGGTGCGCCTGCGTAGACATGAGTGACCGCAAGCGAAAAGGACCCTGACGGCCCACTACTGGATTTGAAATACATCGTATCGAAACATATTGAATTGAAAGTGCACTGTTTCAAAAAACTTATCGTATCGAGTTATGTATCGTATCGGCAACTTCTTAATGATACCAACTCTACTAATAATAAAGGATTACTTAAATATGTGTGAATGAAACAAAACAAAACACAACTCCAGGTCTGTTTTTAAGAGGTAACAACATTATAACACGGCTTTCATCTCACAAGAGTCAATTATGCGTAACATAGGCACTTTAAAACCTACTCTTGATTTCTTTTTTGGAGCTCAATGCTTTCAAAAGTTTTCATAAATGGCGAAGGCAGTCGTGTTTTGGTAAATGAGATCCACGTTGTTTCCAGTTCTTGACCTGATGACATCGAGCGCACACTGATGGAGGTAAATATACTGGTCCTGCGAATAAAAGAATTACAAAATCGTTGGTAACAGAAGTATATTTGGTATTGGGAAACATAAAGGAGCTGTTTTACCTCTGTCTGCACCATGAGGCTTCGGTGCATTCGCATATCGTGAACAATACCATAAACATCGACCACGTTTTCCCTTTCGATCTGGAATATGAGGCGGTCAATGGCGATGAAGGTCCCTGTGCGTCCCACGCCAGCACTGAGAAGAAAAAACAGGTGGGTTAGACAGAAAGCAGCGGATATGGAGGTGATAAACAGTGTGTGTGTGTTTATGTTTGTGTGTCATGGAAGTATAAGAAGATCTGGAGGATGAATATGGAAGATAATTTGTTCCATTAGATTCTGTATTTTAAATCCCGTTGATTTTCTCACTTCCAATTTTTTAACTCTGAAAAAATGTGTTCGAATTATTTTGATTCTGAATTTTAGTTGCTGTTTGTTTGATGATTCAAAATAGAAAATTCACCTTCTTAAATTATCAGCACATATATTTTCAACAGTCAAAATTCAAAGTGTGAAATTCGCAGTAAAAAATTTCACAGCAAAGATCGAAGATGCCCAGGCAGAAGCAATTGATCTTGAGTGCGTGAGGAGGACAGAGGATGTTTCCTATTGGCTGTTATCATCTGTGGGCGGGGTTTACACTTATTATTCTGACCAATCAAATCGCTTCACTGCACCATTTCCTGCTTGTTACGAAATTAGATTGGATCACTGTGGATCGATTGCTTCTGCCTTGGCATCTTCGGATCTTTGCTGCAAATTTTTTTCACTGCAAATTTTACACTCTGAATTTTGTCTGTTGAATTTGAGGGCTTGAAAATATTTGTGCTGAATATTTAAAAGGTGATTTAAAAAAAAAAATTTATTGAATTTTCAACACTTTGAAAATGTATACTTAAAATTTCATCATCTGCCATTCAGAATAAAAATAATTCAAACATGTTTTTTCAGAGTTAAAAAATTTAAAGTGAGAAATTCAACAGGATTTAAAATTCAAAATCTAATGAAACAAATTATCTTCCATAGATGAACCAAAGATGGCATCAGTGACCTGTGCTTATTGGCGCAAAGTCACCCAAAATATTTTTTCTTCCGTTTTCCTTTCTGAATACTGGTCTAGCTGATCAGAAAGTTAACATGTTTCTGACCACGTGACGTCAGAAACATGTTAACTTTTAGGCGCTTTGATGATTTAAAAATTCTAAAATGTTCATATTGTAAAAATACAGAGGAATCCCAACAAAAGCCACCCATTTTTTAAGCGGTGGATGCCCTGTCAGCCAAACATGAGCAGTTTGATTCTCGAGAAAAATGCATTGTGCTCAATGGGAGAATTATTTCTGGACCAGAGCTGCAGTACCTCAGAGCAGCCACTAGTTGACCTCGCACAAGGACAGATTTAGAGTGTCTTATCCAGTTATTATAATATGCATGTGTGTGTTTGTATGTGTGTGTTGACAAACCTGCAGTGCACTATAGTGGGAGAGTGCCTGTACTGGTCCATGTGTTCTCGGACCAGATGTCTGAAGCTGATCAGGAGCTCCGTGGTCTCTGGAACCCCGTGGTCCGGCCAAGCTGTGAAGTGGAAATGCCGCACGGAACGAGTCTCTGCAGTTTTGACCTGACACACACACACACACACAAAGAAACACAAACATGTAAATCAGTCTGTCACAGCAGAGAAAAGAAAACTCTGTGAAGTGACGTTGAGCTGTTACGTTTTTGATGTCAAAGTCCCTGATGGTCCAGTCCTCAAGGGGGATCTCAGATGTTGTGGTGACGTTTATGTTTTCATAGTGCTTGGTGCCAGCGGTCCAGTACTGCTCACATTTCACCTGAAGAAGAGAGAAGATTCAAAGCCCAATGAGTTCTCTTCTTATGACAAAGATCACAGAAAAATTTGCTTTTTCTTTACTTGTATTGAACAAAGAGTAGGCCTGTTTTCAAATTTTGAAGCACGATATATTCCTACAGAGTAATACTGCAATAAAGGATAATGCTGAAACTATTTTATGCCCCTGATACAAAAACAATAACGCAAGATAATCCTTGTAAACCACTTTCTAATAGACAGTATCATTAAAAGTTACAGGCTGCAATAAACAAACAGCCGAATGAAGCAATAATTATCCACAGAAATTACTTTTTCAACCCTCTGCTGGTGAAATCTTATCGTATTATAACTAGTGCTGTCATGCGATTAAAAAAATTGAGAGATTAATTAATTATGATCTGTAATTAATTAATCTAATTAATCTCATTTTAATCTCACCTAAAAATTGCTGAGAAAAGCTTCAATTTGAGGTATTTTCATTTAAATTCATTATTATATTATTGTGGCAGATCAAAAGACTGATATAGATTTTAAAAAGTGACTTTATAAAGTCATTCATTGTTTAACAAATCTCTCCAATTTGGCTGTTGAGTCCAAGTCTCCATGAATAAGAAACTGTTTGCTGTAAAGTAGCAAAGACGAGGAAATCTGAACATAATAACTTTTGTCTACTTAAAGACAATAAAAAGTCCAGTCTTTCCTTAACCATATTAAAAATATTATTGATAGAGAAATGCTTTATATATGAGATCACTGGTTTTAGTCCTGGTTTAGACCTGGTTTAGACCTGCTTTAGTCCTAGTTTAGTCCTGGAATGGATTAATCCTGGTTTTAGTCCTGGTGTTAGTTCTGGTTTAGTCCTGGTTTAGACCTGGTTTAGACCTGGTTTAATCCTGGTGTTAGTTCTGGTTTAGTCCTGGTTTAGTCCTGGTTTAGACCTGGTTTAGACCTGGTTTAGTCCTGGTTTAGTCCTGGTTTAGACCTGGTTTTAGTTCTGGTTTAGTCCTGGTTTAGTCCTGGTTTAGACCTGGTTTAGACCTGGTTTTAGTTCTGGTTTTAGTTCTGGTTTTAGTTCTGGTTTAGTCCTGGTTTAGTCCTGGTTTTAGTCTTGGTGTTAGTTCTGGTTTAGAGGCGCACAGGAGGAAGCGCGGTTTACGCCGCGTACGCGAGAAAACACGATCCACACGCGACTCACGGGAGGACAGCGATGTCCGCACAGTGTCTACGGAAGGAAACGTGGTCCGCGCGTTCTCAAGTTGATGACGATGATGAAAGTGTGTGTTTGTTTGTGTGTTTGTGTTTGTGTGTGTTTGTGTGCGTGTCCCCTCATGTGGCAGGTCACTATAGGACAGTAGTGCAGACATCATGAGCCTATGCAGGTTGTTTTCAGGCGATATTATTATTATTATTATTATTATTATTATTTGTTATTTCACGTCGGGAGAATAATTTCCAAGACACGAATGTGTTTTTACCTGTGCGCTGCTGCCTCTGTTCTACTGGCTCTTCGACCTTGTCCATTGTGCGACTGACGCCGCCAACGTTAACATGATGTTTACATCGCTGTAACTGCGCGCGTTTTGTGTGAGTTTCCGGCAATGAGTGGAATTACCGAAATAAAAAAATGTATAAAATGTGTTTTGTGTGTGTGTGTGTTGTTGTCCCAACAACACATAAAAACAGGTTTTATAATAAAGAAACTCACATACAGAAACACTAAAGTTAGAGATTAAAAATGAGATTAACGCGATTAAAAAACATAACGCGCTAAATATGACTGTAATTAATTAATCGCAATTAACGCGATAATTTGACACCCCTAGTTATAACAAAAATCCCCCAAAACTCCACACTTTTACAAAGAAACATACAATAAATACAGAGCCCCAAAATAAATTGCTCCAACTTTCATAAAAATGAAATGATAAGTTGATATAGTAATTATCGTGACAGGCCTAACAAAGAAAAGGAACAGAGCAGCTGATGTAGCTGTGTTTAAAGGGCCCATCTCATGCAAAATAACTCTTTTTACATTGTATCTTCTGCACATATACAAGCCCAATTTGGGTTTTGGAACATCCATTACACAATAGTTATGAAATCTTACTGATTTCTTGGATCAGTCACAGACCAGGAACTATGAAAGGCCGACTATTGCTCATCCCCCAGCCCGTCCTGAGAAAGCACAGGCTCCACCCTCCAAACGTGACGTAGGCTCTGAGTGAGCCGCCCTTCCTCCGCCATCTCAGGGAGGGAGGGGGAGACAGGTGTGCACCCTGACAGCGGTAGGAATAAACTTTTATTCATTATGGTGATACAGCTCGGTCAGCCACATGTGTTGGACCTGGAATCGGACGAGGACTTTGAGGTGCACGAAGCTCAAGCACCGCGTCCACATCAGCTGAACATTACTGATTGGTAAAGTATTAATAAACACTAGTAGATAAACCTATTATATTGTGTTCACTGCAGTGTAGAACAATGAGCTTATGCTGTCGCTTTTGTTGAAGTGTTTGTGAGAATTGTCAGCAGATGCGGGGTGGAGGAGGGCGGAGGCGGTGTAGTGGGGGAGGGGGTTGGGTGCTAAGTGCTTTCTGCTACGTCAAAGCATCAGAGGTGTAGCTGCCGCGTTATCATTGTTGCAGGCTTTTGTTCATTGTCACGTGGGAGGGTGGCAGATATACACTGCAATTTGTTTAAAAAAAAAAGCCAAATCAATCTAAAAAAACACTTTGGCTAGATATACAAGACCCACACATCACTCTTAAAAGGTAGAAAGCTCTGAAAAGTTGATTTTGCATGAGATGGGCCCTCTAAATGTGTATCGCAGACTGTTGCTGTGTAACTATCTATTATATATGTGACCTATATATGAAATATGGACGCAGAATTCTCACTCTATACAGGCCTATGACAAAAGGTCAGAGTCTATGCTCCATTGTTGTACTTTAAATGATAATGAAGAGTGTTACAGGAGCCATATGAGTCACTCACTCTGCCCTGCTCATTGCAGCGTGTTAGCATGACCACAGTGTGCACGTTCTTCTCCCAGATCATCCTCCAGAAGTCATTGACTGTGGCCGGCAAAGGGCCCTGCGCTGCAATAAACTCCTTCTTGGAGTTGTAACCCTACACAAACATAAGCAATGGTTCTGGTTAATGAGTCTGACAATTAATTAAATAAGAACATAAATATGGAATAGAATGAAACTGAATGAAGCAATCTGAATAAAATATGCAATGGAAGAAAGCTGCTTTTGTCAGTACGCACCGGTATGTAGTTAGCATTGATGTAGTCATCAATAGGATTCCCATGAATGATAGAAAGCTTTACTCTAGATGCATCGTCTAGAAGATTAGCCAAAAGGGTTAGGCAAATGTTAGCAACATGAGTTTATCTGGATTAGTAATGAACGTTAAAATGTGTAATATGGGCGTTTTAAAACAGAGTAAAGCTGTAACTCACACGGGAGAACGTTGTTGTAGCGATTCTTGGGCTTGTTCTCTGGAGTCAAAGCGTGGGTTTTGGACTGAGCAGTGCCAACAACTTTGAGGTCCTTAAAGAGCACAAAATGTTAAAATGATCCAATTATAGCAGTTCCATTAAATACAGTAAAATCAGCAAATCATTACAAACTATCAAAGTATTCACACAGCTGAGATATACTTGTATTTTTGTTTTTACTTGTACATAACCATTTATAGAATTATGCCTTATTTGACACCAGTCTCTTGCTTATTTTGAATTTATTTTCACCATTTTTATTTTTGCTCTTTGTTCTTATATTATATTGTGATGTGTGGTCTACTGTGTCCAAACTATTTCCCTTATGGATCAGTAAAGTTTGTCTAAGTCTAAGTCAGAACAGGCTGCTACAGGTTTCTATGTGTTTATACAATTATACTATAACTGTACCTCATATTCCTCAGCGAAGCCACAGTTGGAATCAGCTTTTTGTTTTTTGTAGTACACTTCATAATCCTCAACTCTCACAGGGAAACTCCTGATGACAGAAAGCAAGTATAATATTAGACAAACAAAAAATAAAATTAATAATACTCACACATTATACTTACACGTTAGCTCTGGAAAACAAAAAAAGCAAACAAAAAATAAACAAAAAAAAATAAAGCAAAGAAAATAATTGTGAATCCTTTTACACGACCAGTCAAAAGTTTGGACACACCCTCTCATTCAATGTTTTTACTTGTACTACTTTATCTTTACTACTTTCTACATTTAGATACACACGGAAGACATTAAATATATGAAGCAAGATCTAAGGAATTATGTAGTAAAAAAAAAGTGAAATAGTTTTTGACAAAGCAAAGTGTGGCTACTTTGAAAATTTGAATCTAAACACAGTACAAAAGAAATATAGCGTGTGTATATTTAATTTATTTTCTTTGCTACGTAATCCCATACATCTTATTTAATATACAGTAAGTGATGTCTTCTGTTTGTATATTAAATGTAGAAAGTAGTAAAAATAAAAACGCTGAATGAGGGTGTCCAGACCTTTGACTGATAGTGCAGATATAAACTAAAAGCGTAGCCCACCTCAGAGAATGTATTTGAATGTCAGATGTCTCTTTCTTTGACAACCTACAAGAAACAAAAAAAATATAATCTGAAACATGCAAATGGTTTTTCTGGGTTTTCACCATAGACTGTATAAAAAAGTAGCCAGGCTGGTGCCACTTAATGCCTCTGCTCAAGTTCATTTCTCTCCAGCGACTAGCAAAACCCCAGAAGTTGTAGACCGCGCACTGGCCAATCAATGAAGAGCTGTGAAGCCATGACGTCAAACTCAAGCACCTGTCTGTGTCCCTTTTGTGGTACAGCACAAGAGTAAACAAGGTGGTCAAGATGGATGCAGACGAAGCCATACATTTTGTGTTCGCAACGATTCCCAAGTTCGAGGATTTAAAGCCGGAACAAAGAGAATGTTTGGTGAATTTTATCAAGGGGAAAGACGGTATTGCCCTTCTTCTTATGGGATTTGGCGCATTACTCGACCAAATAGCAGTGATTGGTTAAAGTACCCGCCTACTGTCGAGCAAACAAATCCTAATGGTCGAGGTCAGACGGTTTCCACAAAGTGAAACCAGCTGATGAAACAGGCTAATAAAAAGTGGACTAATGTCGGACGTACACTGTGCGATATTTTCGATCATTTCACTCAGCTCCAGCTCAAACTGTTCAACCAAATCACAGGGTTTAAATGTTCACAGCTCACAATTCATGTTCTCACACTGTAAGAACAACTTGAACAGTGCGAAACCCTCAGGAGAGGCGATTGGATTTCAAACAGGTTTGATATTCTTGCGACCTATGATTGCCGATCTGGAGCTGGTCGTGAGGTATTAGTCAGTTCTCCTTACTCCATGTTTAATACACGAAGCAAGACACACGATTAAGCCAAAACTCGGCCTGGCCCAAAAAATCGGCTCAAAAAGGGCCAAGAATCGCACAGTGTACTCCCCGGCTGAAGAGAGCGTGACGTCACCTATAGCGTTCGGCTCCAGTCAAATGAAGCTCATCGAGGCCGCCAGTTATATCAGTGAATTTGGAGCAGGAATAGAAATTGATTTAAGGACAAAAAAACTAAATATCATAAAGTAGAACGGGTTAATATGAACATTTTCAGAACAAAATGACGAGGCTCACAGCAGCAGTGAGTCAACGTCAATTGGCGCCAGAGCCGATGGAGCCGGGAGCGCGCCCATGCTCACTTCCTATCTGTAACGCGGAATATTATAAAATAGCTATGTCCATTTCTATATACAGTCTATGGTTTTCACTTGAAATATTAAAATAATATTTAACCTTCTCCAGTAAATGACGAATCCAATGAGCACGATCAGCAGAATAAGGAATATACCCAAGGTCACTCCAACTGCCATTCCAATGACGACTAAAACACAAATACACAAAGAAAAGTTAAAAATAACAATAATAATAATAATTTAATTAAATAAGACTTGTCATGATAATTACTATGGATTTATTGTTCAATATATGAAAGCTGGAACAATATTTTGGGGGGTCAATATTTATCAGATTTAAAGTGCATCTTTTTTGTTGAAGAGTGTGTCAAAAGCTTTTCTCCCGGAGATGTTATTGACGTTATTACTAATAAATATAAGATAGAGCTGTTTAATGTCATACTGTGGAATATTCCAGGCAGAGCAATGACATATCCATAGAAACAAGCACCTTAAGCCATAAAAAGTTGAATTAATAACTTCTGTGACTCATTACAGATGCAAATGAAATACTAAAGAGTTTCATTCTGCTTTTTATTTAGTGCAGCTCATGACTTTTTAACAGTATTGTAGATTTTGAATAGATTTGTGAGTTTTGTTTGTTCACTTTCGATACCAATTCAGGGAGTAAAAATAGACCGTAAAATCTATGACAAAATGTGTTATGTGGCAGTTTTTTGTCTCTCAGGTAACAACAGAACAACTTTCCATTAAACATTATGAGACTTTCTGGACCAACTATGAGCAATAAATATTAGAGATGTAACAATAACCGAAATATCGTGATATCATATCGTCAAAACTCACAATATGTTGAACTGCAACGTTTTTCAAGTATAAAAAAAAGACAGAACTGCATTGGTTATGATCTTTTGCCTCATGCAGTGTAGACTATATGGTAAAGTAACTGTTATTAAGCACTTTTAAGTCTTAATTCTTTGGAGTATGACGGTAACGAGTCACACTAAAGACCTGACGAGGCATTTTAAAGGAAAAAGTAGCCTATCCTCTAAAATAATAAATCGCATTACTTAATTAATTAATCGCATACCGTGAGATGCATATCTTGAAAATATTGTACCGTTATCCCTTGGAAATAGTCTCATTATATCAAATTATAAAACAGAGAGCCAATATCTGATCTGGCGTCAATATTCAATACCAGTATCAGTTTTTCGTGACAGGACGAGATACAATTTCCACATTACAAGACGAGACACAAGATTGGAACTACGAGAACGAGACAAGATGAGATTTTCACATTTTTTTTATAACAAATAAATTGTGTAATCCATTTCCTATTTTTGGTCTCACCATTTTTTATTTACTTTATTAAATATTTTTGCTGGCATTGTAGCAGTTTTGGGACTACAGCTTCTCAAAAAAAAGTAACTCACCAGAAATTAACTCTAACATTTTTTAACCAATCCAAATGTAAAAACGTGGGAAAAAATCCTGTGGCAGTTTTGTCTCGTGAGATCTTTTAAATCACCTCTTAAAACTTACTTTTATCGTCACGCCTTTTCTATTTTTGTGTGTATCTTTTCTTTGTATTTTCTGTGTTTTGTATTTTATCTTCTGGGCGTGTATTGCGTTTCTACTTTATTGTGAAGCCCTTTGTAAACTCGTACAGGTGCTATATAAATAAAGATTATTATTGTTATTATAAAAGAAATACCTGGATTTTGTGGAAGTGTTACAGAATTGTCAAATTGTGTAGATGAATACAGACACGCAGCAGCATTTATTTTGTCGCCATCCAATTCGAGCTTGGTGAACACAACAATAGTAAACCTGTGGAATAAAAAAATAAATCACAATTACGTTCTATATTTCAGTACAAAATTATTTAACAACAGCTAAAGTTTTCTCACTTGTATTGCTTCGTGGCCTCGAGGATACCATTCCCGTAACCGTGCCATGTAGTCTCATCTCCGACTGGTAGAATGAGAGGTTCTGTATTGCGTGTCTTCACAGTCGCGTTGATTATTGTTGCCAAATACGCCTTTGACTTTTTGTTTTTCCAGTCATCATAATTGGACTCCAAGTATTTCCCCAATTCTTTCTTGCTGACATCTGGATAGAAAAAGTTTTGTTTTTACGAGTGGACGTCATAAAGTTAAAAGAAAGATTAAAGGTTCCATATTACACTGTTTTCTGATGTTATAATGTTGTTTCCTCGTCACAAACACATCCGGAGTTATATTTCTGTTTCATTCACACATATTTTACACACAAACCCTGCATATTTAGGCTGAGTTCCTCTCCCAAACGATAAACACCTTGTGAAGAAAGTGTGCCACTGCGTTTTTAAACTCCATACACCTTCACTAGAATCATTTGGATAATTTCAGCTCTGGAATTGCCAAACTCTGCTGAACTAATGGTAAAAGGCAGCTGTTATCTTAAAAACTACAGCTTCACGACATCACAAAGTGAAACAGAGCATTTTGATCTTTGGAAATGTAGACAGACTAAGGCTACGTTTATATGATGACGTTGTGAACAGAAGACACAAAAGTGGCGCCGTGTCTTCACTGTTTATTCCGCGTTTAGACGAGCATTCTCGGGAGGAAATCTGCGTGCATATGGTGATGCAAATGTAGGGCTCAGTATCATTAAGAAGTGGCCGATACGATACATACCTCGATATGTAGGTCACGATACAGTGCACTTTTGGTTTGTTTCAAAATTAAATCATGGCTGTGATACTAAAAGTCTTTGTTAAACCACTTCTTGTGCAAAGTGAATATGAAACACAAACATTTTAATCACCAAAACGGTGAAAATGTCAAATGTGTCGCATAAACAAGTTTCCTTCCTCTAAACAAACAACAAAACTGTAGCTCTGTAACAAAATAATATGATATATCGATACAGCACCCCAAGATATCAATATTGTATCATCACGTTAAATAATACGATATATACATTTTTGTATGAAAAGCTCTTTATAAATAAAGTTTGATATCGATATTTCAATATTTTTGCACAACCTTACGCAAAAAAAAGTGTGTGGAATTCGATTGTGTATGCATGCCAGGTTTCTGTGTATGTATGTGACGCAAACGTGTACGCGACGTGAGCAGATCTAACCAGAGTTTTGCGTCTTAGGCAGTTCAGCTTTTCCACTCTGGAGGGTGGTTTCAGATTTTTGGCATTTTTAAGCCCCAAAAACCCTATCACCGTCTAAACGAAAGGCACTTCCGATAAAATATTAGATTAGATTTATTGTCATTGTACAAAATACAACAAAACTTCGACAAAGCAGATCTGTAGCAGTAAAAATAAATAAATATAGACACATTCTCACATCCATACCAATAAAAACATTAAATAAATAAATAGATTATAGCACTGAGTCCCTTCAGGTCTTTTGTCGTTTGTAAACGGGCCCTAATAATAAAGGATTACTCAAACATGTGTGAATGAAACAAAACACAGCTCCAGGTCTGTTTTTGAGGAGATAACAACATTCTAACATGACTTAAAGCTCCACAAGAGTCCATTTTGTGTAATATAAGACCTTTAAAATAAATATCATACCAGAAGAACTTTGGTGTAGTCTCTGACACTAACACTCCCACATGTGTAATTGGCCCGTTGATGTTGTTCAGAAGATCGCGGCTGACCTCAATTGAGAACTCGTTGAATTTCACATTGACCGGTTTAATCATGTTTTCGTACTTCTCCAGTGAAGGCGGATCTGGACAAGGAATCAAGATTCAAACACACACTTTTAGATCACATCATTGTAACTGCTGTGTTTCAAGTGATGTCACAATATTGTATAGACCAATAATATTTAATACAGATGGGGGAAGTGTAGGTTTTGGTGTCACTTTATAATAAACATTCATAAATTGTTTGTAGGCATGTCTTATTATGAAGTGTTTTTGTTGTAATATCGCCAGTTCATGGATTTAGTCACAGGTAGAAAAGATAACATTAAAGATTTGTGAATAAACTTTTTGGCTATTTCATGACAAATACAATGTTTGTATTTTTGTATAATATAATACAATTTTAGAATCTGAAAACCAATAAAGGGCTGACAGTTTGGAAATGTTTTGTTTAGAATTTAGTTCAAAAACTTCAAATTGTATCAGATTTTTTCACAGCATTTTATTTTATTATTACTTTTTTTTTTTTATTAAATTAAATTAAATTTAATTGTTTAATTAAATTAAATTTAGTTTTATTATTTTATTTTTCATTTTATTTATTTTTTATTTTATTTTATTTTATTTTAAAGGTGCAATGTGTAACTTTTCTGATGTAGAGTCTGCCGCTTGCTTTCCTCCATAGAAACAATTGTTTGGCTTTGGGATGTTCCATAGTATGGCATTAAACATCTATGCAGCATTTATTCAATTAAAAGTGTTTTTCTTGCTAAAAAAAACAACAACAACAAACAAACAAACAAAAAAAACTTAAATACCTCTGTCTTCATGAAGTTATATTTAAGTTTAATGTCACACTGTGGAATATTTCAGGCAAAACAATAACATCCCCATGGATACAAACAGGTGGCAGACCTTCTACCAGAAAAGTTACGCAATGCACCTTTAACCATAGAACACAGTAAACTACAGGAGATTAACAGGAGTGCTTTGAAAATATTAAAATGTGTATTTGTTTGTTTTTTTATTTATTTATTTTTATTTTATATTTTTTGTGTTAAATGGACAATAATGAAGAGAGTGGACACAACAACATACTAATTTAAGAAGGGAAAATAAATAAATAAAATAATAATGGTCATAATGGTAATATGGTACAAATATAATGATGTATGTAATATTGTATGGTCCTACCTGTGATTCCAGTCCGGCAGGTGTGGCTGACAGGGGCGCTGGGGTTTCCACAGCTCTGTGTTGTCACTGTCACTGTGTACTCTGTATAATGCTTCAGGTCTCCTTTTACAAAGTTGATTTTTAAGGGTTTTTAGATGTTTCGTTCTCAAACTGCACTGAGAAATTAGAAAATTGACCCTCTGCTTTCTTCCATGTCCAAGTTATTGTTGCATTTGTTTCATTTGGGGCTTTACAATCTATGAATGGCACAGGACTTGCATCTGATAAAAAGATGACAACAAATTAATTAAGCTGAACCAAGAAAAGTAATACTTATACAGCAGAAGAAATTTAGGGTGCGTTCACACTTGAACTATCAGCACATCCGTATTTTTCGGACTATGAGACGCACTTTTTTCATGGTTTTGGGTGTTTGCTGCGACTTACACTCCGGTGCGATTATTGCATATTGGGATATTAAAATTTTCAGACTGACAGCCGCGAGAGGCTCCGGGTTCGTGTGTCAGCTTTCTGCGCACGTCTCCTGCAGAAAAAGCCACTGTTCTGCTACAAATAGTGAAATATCGGGCAGCAGAAAGAAAGTTTGGAGTCAGCAAAAAACTCGTGAGGGACTGGCGGAAGGCGGGGATGGAGAACACAGCTTCACGTCAACTGGGAGGGTGCAACATACAACTTGGAACCTGGACGTCATTGGATGGATGGACAAAGCCTGGACATCAGTGACACTGAAACCATCCTGTCAGGATTCAGAAAGGCCGGAATAATTCTAACTGGAACTGATGCTGAGTCTGACAACAGCTACACAGAAGAGGAGGGGGTGCTCTGTTTACCTCTGGAGGTCATGGAGTTGCTCAGAAGTGACACAGAGGATGAAGAATTCAATGGATTTAGTGATTTGGAGGGAGATGGAGAGTTTGGTAAACTTATTTTCTATTGTTTATGCTATAGTTATCTGAATAACTCTAAATACGTTAACACACCAGATGCCTATTCAGCCTCTATGCTATTATTATTACTATAACTTGCCTTTCAAGAAGAAATGTCGGTTCCTGGTCCCTGATTTTATAAAATCAATTCCCCCAAAAAGTGTGACTTATAGTCCGGTGAGACGTCATTCTTCATAACAAATTTTTTGACTGGTGTGACTTATACTCCGGAGCGACTAATAGCCCGAAAAATAAGGTAAACTAAATCCAGAACTAAAAGTGGACTAGATTAAAACTAAACCAGAACTTGACCAAATCAGGTCTACGTAAGGACTCAAACTGGGCTCAAACCAGGACCACACAAGTCTGAACGCACCCATAATAGTTCAAATATGATTAAAACAGCTCATACTTGTGCATTCGGTAATATTCATTGGCTCCCCCGTGGTACCATCTGAAGTCTCCGTTGTGACAGTGAACCAATAGGACGAGCCAGAAACCAGACCAGTCATGGTGTGGGTAAGCAGGTTTTCTGTTGCTTCGTCCGTATTGGAGCCCATCACTTTGAATCTGTAACTGGGCTTATATTCTTCTGGTTCGCTCCATGTCAGGACAACCTGCTTCTCTCCGGGTTTTGCCTGTAGGCTTTTGACTGGAAACGGTCCTAAAACACAACAACAAATCAGTTACACACATAAGAAATACAGTCATTTATGGGTGGGCAATTTGACAAAAACATTTCTAGCCATACTGATCCTGGTATTAAATATTGACGTGTGATTCAAATCAGCAGATATCCTGGTTAGGACTTTAAAGGGCCCATATTACACTATTTTCTGATCTGTGTTATAATAATAATAATAGTTTCCTCATCACAAACAGACCTGGAGTTGTGTTTTGTTTCATTCATACATGTTTAACACACAAATCCAATGCATATTTAGGCTGAGTTCTTCTCACAAACAGAAAACACTCTGTTCTACTTTGTGATGTCATGTGGTAGGAAGTGCTCTATTGTGTTTCTAAACTCCATACACCTTCACTCGAATCATTTGGATTATTTCAGCCCTGGAATTGCCCATCTCTACTGAACTAAAAGTTAAAAAAAGCAAAACAAAACACAACTCCAAGTGTGTTTTTGAGGAGGTAACAGCATTATAATATGACTTAAAGCTCACAAAAGTCAATTTTGTGTAATATAGGACCTTGAGTCACTATTTTTAGGACTTGACTTGATGAAATTGATTAAAACTTGGGTCTCGACTTGGACTTGAAGGTCAGTGACATGGGACTTGACTCGGACTTGAGAAGATTCGAGAAGCACTTTTAAATCTGAATTTGTTCTATTCTGACTGTAATGGTTCGCTTTAAGATCTTGTCAAGACATTTAAAAAGGAAACATTTGCATTTCTGCAACTCTTATACAAATATTCATACAAATGATTTTTTAGTACAATTTATCTTAAAATTCCTATAAAAGGCAAACATTTAAGTTATTTGGTTTAAAGACTTGAAATGACTTGAAGCTCAAAGCAGACAACGTGGACTTGACTTGGACTTATGGGCCAGTGACTCGAGACTTGGACTTGCCTGTATTTGACTTGGGACTTGACTCGGACTTGAGACTTGCAAAATGACGACTTGGTCACACCTCTGGGGGCATCTCATATTTTTTTAACTTTTACTCTGAGTGAGGGTTAATAGCTGAGTAGTGATGTGAAGGATAAATAACACTTGCATAACACAACTGGATCTTTTGTGTAATAAGTTGTGTGTCTGTATCATTTTCTGTCCTTGCACAGGTAAATATCAGAACTAAAAAGCTGCATCTGTGCATATCTTATCACGATTGTTCAAACAAATGTTCAAAATGAGACTAAAATAAAACAATAATTACATTTACATAACATTTATATAACACAATACATAATTACGTTTAAAGGTGCAATGTAATTTTCCTGGTGGAGTGTCTGTCACCTGTTTGTTTCTATGGATACGTCATTGCTCTGCCTGGAATGTTCCACAGTATGACATTAAACAGCTCTGCCTTACATTTATTCAATTACAGGTGTTTTTACAGCTCAAAAATCCTAGAAAAACAGGTATTCTGACTGAGCAGGGTCGCCTCTCCACAGATCTGACCTGTAACTTGTTCTGGTTTGGTCTCCATGAAGATAGAAAGGTTTAGTGCAAACATTCTAGACAAAGCAACATCTCCACGGAGGAAAGCATCTGACGGACGCTTCACGAGAAAAGTAGCCAGGCTGGCGCTACTTTTCATTTCTCTCCAGCGACTAGGTCAGGAATCAGAACACACTAGACGGTTTGCAAGAACCCCGGAAGCTGTAGAGCGCACACCGACCAATCAGCGAAGAGCTGTGAAGCCAAACTCAAGCATCTGTCTGGGTCCCTTTTGTGGAACAGCACAACAGTAAACAAAGCGGTCGAGACGAATGTAGACGAAGACATACATTGTGTTGGCAACAATTCCCGAGATTGAGGATTTAAAGCCGGAACAAAGAGAACGTTTGGTGAATTTTATCAAGGGGAAAGACGTTATTGCCCTTCTTCCTACAGGATTTGATGCAGTACATACATCATGACCAAATAGCAGCGATTGGTTAAATAAAAAAGTATCTGCCTACCGTTGAGCGAACGGATGCTAACGCTGCGACATTAGACGGTTTCCACAAAGTGAAATCGGCTGATGAATCAAGCTAGAAGTGCGCTGGTTTATACACTGGATAATCCAAATGGGTGCATTTTACACTGTTTTGACAGAACCACCATATCTTTAATAAAGCTTGAAAACATACATTTTATTTTATCACAGTGCAATGTGATGCTATTGAGGTTTCAGTGGTAGAATTACTAAAATCTTCTGTCAAAATTAATGCCTATGATTATGGCCATTTCAACAAGAAGCCTGAAGTTGGTCTGAGGGCCAGTTTGGACACCCCTGATCTACATGGACGATCACAAAAGTTACATAGTGCATCTTTAATGGTTTTATATCCATGCAGTATACGCACCTGCACTTGCAATAGGCTGAGTGTAACGGATGGGATTTTGGACTTTGGTGAATTCTATCCAGGGGAAAGACGTTATTGCCCTTCTTCCTGCGGTATTAGGTGCATTACATACGTGTCATCGAGCAAACGAATCCTAATGCTGCGAGGTTCCATGACGTGAAACCAGCTGATGAGTCACGCTACCCGAAAAGTTACACAATGCATCTTTAAGCAAACATTTAAGCTCAGATTCATAAAAGGTTCTATATTTACATTTCTAGATATTTTTTTTAGCTATAAATCCACCTTTAATTGAATAAATGTAAGGTAGAGCTGTTTAATGTCATACTGTGGAACATTCCAGGCAGAGCAATGACATATCCATAGAAACAACCAATCAAAACGTTACACAGTGCACCTTTAAATACAGCACTTTACTATTTTTACTCCGTTACGGTCCATCACGGCACATACTGAACCATAAGTCGATACAGTAATGACCATGACAGGCCTATTTTGCAATCATCTTGAACAGTAAATAAGCCTTACTTGTGGTGATCATGTCGCGCCGCACAGTTTCACTTTTGAACCCCATGACGCCGACGGTCGTCACGGTGATATTATAAGATGTTCCAGACAACAGTTGAGCAAATGTATAGTTTGTTTGAGTGGTGGTGATGACTGTCGAGTTCGGTGAAATTTCCACTTGATAATGGAACTCAGCACCAGACATGAGAGGAGCTTCGATCCAAGTGACATGAATGGAGCGAGTGGTCTGCTCCTGAACGGCGATGACTCCAGGAGGGTTAGGAACTAGAAACGAATATTACACATACATTTAAAGAGTCTAAATTATGATATTTTCTGATTTTTGTTATAATGTTGTTCCCTCATCTTCATTAAACAGACCTGGAGTTGTGTTTTGTTTCATTCACACATGTTTAACTCACAAATCCTACATATTTAGACTGAGTTCTGTTCGCTCTGTTCAACCTTGTGATGTCATGTGGTAAAACAGGAAGAGCTCCACTGTGTTTTTAAACTCCATGCACCTTCACTAGAATCATTTGGATAATTTCAGTTCTGGAATTGCCCATCTTTACTGAATAAAGATATACAAATTTCTCTTGTGGATCAATAAAATCTAATTCTGATAAAAAAGTAGAAGATGTAGCAGGTAGAAACTTGAAAAATCCATGTATCATTCGTTCATTTGTTTTTCAAAATAAAACCAAAAATAAGAAAATGAAAAAAAAACTATTTTCTTCATTATTTGTCTCCAAAACCAAAATGGAAAAATGGATAATGATTTGTTTTTTCAGTTTTCGATTTTGTGTTTAAATGAAGAATGGAAAAAATGGATAAGAGCAGTTTCCTGTTTCCATGACTTAAACCGCGATGCCAGATTGAACCAGAATTGAATCAGGACGGAACCAGGACTAAACCATTTTCAGTCCTGATTTAGTCCCAGTCTTAGTGCCGGTCTGGTACCAGTCTGGTCCCGGTCTCAATCACGGTCTAGTCCTGTTCTGGTCACAGCCTCTGTCCTGTCTAAGTCCTGGTCCTGGTCCTGGTCTCAGTCCTGGTCTCAGTTCTGGTCTGGTCCCGGTCTCAGTCCTGGTCCTGGTCCTGGTCTCAGTCGTGGTCTCAGTCCTGGTTTCAGTTCTGGTCTCAGTTCCGGTCTGGTCCCAGTCTCAGTCTTGGTCCTGGTCCCGGTCTCAGTCCTGGTCCTGGTCCTGGTCTCTGTCCTGGTCTCAGTCCTGGTCTCAGTTCTGGTCTGGTCCCAGTCTCAGTCCTGGTCCTGGTCCCGGTCTCAGTCCTGGTCTCAGTTTTGGTCTGGTCCCAGCCTCAGTCCTGGTCTCAGTCCCGGTCTGGTTCTGGTCTGATCCCGGACCTGGTTTTATCCTGGTTTAGTCCTGATTCAGTCCGACATCGCAGTTTAAGTCACGTAAACGGGAAACGGCCATTATCTGTTTTTTTTTCCATTTTTCATTTAAACACAAAATCGAAAACTGAAAAAAACAAATCATTATCCATTTTTTCATTTTGGTTTTGGAGACAAATAATGAATAAAATAGTTGTTTTTTCATTTTCTTATTTTTGGTTTTATATTGAAGAACAAATGAATGAATGAATGATATATGGACTTTGAAAACTAGCTCTTTATGACATCACAAGGTGGGACAGAGCATTTTGAGCTTTAAGGATGCAGACAGCCAAATAACACAGGATTACTCGAGCATGTGTGAAACAAAACACAACTCCACGTATGTTTTTGAGGAGGTAACAACAGTCTGACATGGCTTTACCCTCACACGAGTCAATTTTGTGTATTATTGGACCTTTTAGTCTCATAAGCCAAAGTCAGGATCATAACTGGTCCCAAAACGAATGGTGCCGTGTCTTTACTTTTAGATAATTCACAGAAAAATAATGATAACAGCCATACTCACATGTGGCGTTAGAGACTGATTCTGATTGTTCACTAAAATTTCCACTTTGGGTTTCAACCACAGCAGTGTAAATTCTTCCAGCAGACAAGTTCTCAAATATATGAAATCGGGCAGTAGAGTTAAGCTCCCCAGACCAGCTTGTGTCATTTAAAGAAACTCTATAAACTTCAACATTTCCAGGAGGTTTTGCCCATGAAACCAAAATGGAGTTGTTGAGGCCTTGACTGGAGATGTGAGGCTCTACTTTCTCAGGCTCTGTTGAAGCAAGAGAGAGAGAAAATATTATTATTATATTATTATTTTTATTTATTTATTACAGACACCATTGAAAATATGATGGTAACAAAACACTCAACTCACACTGAAAATGTCATATCTTGGTAAGTTAAAACGACTTGAATTAGGAACATTATTTGAGTAGATTCAACTTGACGAGTAAAAATATCTACGAATGGAACAAGCCTGGGAGGGAACTATAATAAAATCTGGAAGGTGAACCCAAGATGGCGTCATATCGTTTTCAGTGGTCTGTGTTCATTGGCGCATGGGCCCAAAAATAATTTTCTCTTCCACATTTACTTCCTCAATCCCGGCAAGCGCCTCCCACCCGTGTGACATCTGTAACGTGTACGGCGTGGAGCATTTAGACCAATCAGAGCGAGAGATGCTGGAGCAGAGCTAGTACAGGCTTAGAGCGGGGCTAGACAAAGTGTTACAAAACTAACTTTTAGGAGGATTTAAAAGTTTATGTTGTGAAAATAGAAAAGAATCCATACAAAATCCAACTTTTGTGAAAGCTGGATGCCCTGTCAGCTCAACACGGGCAGTTTGAATTCTCAAAAAATGCACTGTGCTTCTATAACTGCAGTACCTGGAGCGGCCACTAGTCGGTCTTGAGCCGTTACCATAGACCAGTGTTTCCTAAACTTTATTTTAAAAGTCACAAACCTTCGTGACCCAAGTCAATAGACATTATTCGTAAATCACAAAATAAGGAGGAGGATTTGACCACTACTGAACATTAATGAGGATATTTTATTGTTGAGTGAGTGATCGTGTCTCTCTGAATAATTAGTATTACTCAAGTTTTGAACCAGCGATAAAAGGATGCATAAGTTGCCTATTTGGACCCTAAATGTAGCCCATTTCTTTTCCTTTTCAATATTCAACTGAACCAGCAATAAACTAATTACAAAAAGATAAGATATTACACAAAACATGTCTTAACATTTCAACATTTCTAATGAAATAGATGATCCTGTCTGTTTTTGTAGCGCGTTCCAGTCCAGGGTACAGGAGGAGAGCGCAACACGCAGATCAGACAACCCCAAAAAAATCTCTTGTGATCCACCTGAGGGCTGCGACCCAGTCTTTGGGAAACAATACCATTGACTGTATATATGAATGGACATATCTAACGCACAAGCCGACGCGTTCCAAATAAGAAGTTCACATGTGGTTCTTCCGGCTCCTTCTGACCCTGGCTCCGACTGACTTACACTGGAATATTGTCGCCCGTCTCTCTGTAACTGCTGCTGTGAGCCTCATCAATTGGATCTTAAAATGTTCATATTAACCCACTCTACATGATCCCTTTTGGGGGTTTTTTCTCGCTGTTTTGTCTGTCAAAAAAATCCTATTCATAATATGGAGCCTGACTCTAAATTCATCGTGTAACCGAGCTACATTTGAGCGGCGCTGAACACTGTGGGTGACGTCACACTCGCTTTGTCCACTTTTTTCGTACAGTCTATGGCCAGGACAGAGGGAAAATGCTATATCCAGTTTTTTAAATTATAGATCCATGTGGGGACGTCACGGCGAGGGCGATGGAGCAGTGAAATAGAAAAGACATTGCCGAACTACTTGTGCATTATGTGGTATTAACTACTTATGTACTAATTAAACTTTTTAGTAAACGACGAGTTAAGCGTTAATAAACATTTACACATGATCACCAGACTTTTTTCTCTGGGGGCCACATTTTCGCTCCTGACTGTGATGAGGACTGGGTTTTGGGTCGGTTGTATAATAAAATTGTAAGACCCTGATGACGCTGATTAGATTCTTTGAAAACCGCCACACTTTTTTAACATATCAGACAAAGCGCACGCTCCTTACTCTGAACAAAAACATTAATCGGTCGTCCACTGTTCTTTGAAAACTCGGCACCCTCTGTCACGTTTTCGTACTTTAACACTCGCCATTTTTGCTGTCCTTAATTGCGCTACAGAACTCTGCGTGTGTTGACTGAGCTTGTCAGGTGACGAAAATTCAGCGGCAAATGTAAATACGTCAAATAATCGTTCAATTTTTTTTTTTTTTGCAATTCATTCAGGGCTTTTTTGTCCACACATAAACTCAATATAAATGTAGAAAGTAGATAAAAAATAAATAAATAATAATAAAATAAAGAACATAATAGCAATAATAATGATGATGATACTTAATAATGAAAAGGATTATATATCTATGTATAATCGTTTAAATATAAATACTTCATATAAATACCATTTTTTAATTGAAAAAAAAAAAAAAATCTACAAAATACAAGACGCAGATGTGTTATTATTTGCCAAAAAGTAATACATTTTTAAAAAAGCTCGTGAAAACTTTTGAGGATCGTCTCATAGGGCCAGTTCAAGCCGTGTTAACCCCATAATAGATGAAAAACGATGTCTTACTGGTATATGCAGATGTGCATTCAGATTTACTCTCTATTCCATTTTCAGCTTTGACGGTAACACAGAAGCTGCAGTTGGTGCCTGAAGTCAGATCTGTTAACTCTGTGTTTTCAGAAGTAACAGTTTTGTTGTGAGTTTCTCTACAGCCTGACGTCTCCACCACGTATGTGTATTCAGGCTTGTACTCTGACGGCTGAGTCCAGGTGAGACTAATAGAGGTTGTATTTAAAGTGTCCGCCATCAAGTTCTTAATCCCATAGGGCCCTGCAAAGATAAGAAGAAGAATTACATTTAACCTAACAGAAAAGAAGCCAGCACTATCATATAATACAGATACAGATACAATTTGTTATGGTTTATAAGAAATTACAAAAGTCTAGAATCAATCAGTCTCATTTGTTCATTTGTTTTTCATATTTAAACCAAAAATAAGAAAATGAAAAAACTGCTTTTTTCTTTATTATTTGTCTCCAAAACCAAAATGAAAAAACAGATACGATTCATTTTTTCAGTTTTCGATTTTGTGTTTAAATGAAGAATGGAAAAAACTGAATTAACCAGGACTAAACCAGGACTAAACCGTTTTTAGTCTTGGTCTAGTACCGGTCTCAGTCCCGGTCTGGTCCTGGTCTGGTCCTGGTCTTAGTCTCGGTCTCAGTCCTGGTCTCAGTCCTGATCCTGTTCTCAGTCCCTGTCTCGGTCCTGGTTAGGATCTTGTCCCAGCCTCAGTCCCGGTCTCAGTCCCGGTCTGGTCCTGGTCTGGTCCTGGTCTTAGTCCCGGTTTTAGTCCCGATCTGGTCCTTGTCTTAGTCTCGGTCTCAGTCCTTGTCTCAGGTCTGGTCTGGTCCCAGTCTGGTCCTGGACTCAGTTCTGGCCTGGTCCCTGTCTGGTCCTGGACTCAGTTCTGGCCTGGTCCCGGTCTGGTCCTGGACTCAGTTCTGATCTGGTCCCAGTCTATGTCCTGGTCTCAGTCCCGGTCTGGTTCCAGTCTGGGCCCGGACCTGTTTTAGTCCTGGTTCAGTCCTGGTTCAGTCCTGGTTCAGTCCGTCATCAGTTTTTTCCATTATTCATTGAAACACAAAATTAAAAACTGAAAAAAACGAATCGTTATCTGTTTTTGCATTTTGGTTTTAGAGACAAATAATAAAGAAAATAGTTGTTTTTTTTATTTTCTTATTTTGATTTTATTTTGCATCAGTTTGCTGATCCAAAGATTATTAAAAACATTCTTTGCCTCATTAGACCACAAATAAAAACATTATGGATGTGACATTGAAGCAGATAACATACTTGTGAAGTAGGACACGGTCTGTGGAGAGGCGGCAGTGCCATCTGCTGTTTGTGTGGTGACAGTGAAGCTGTAGTTGGTGCCAGAGATCAGCCCCTGTACTTTCACTGTCAAGTCTGTAACGTTTAACGGTGCTGATGTGGGCCCAGAGCTGTTACTGACTTCCACCAGATATCTATAACCTGGTTTGTGTTCAGTCTGATTCCAAATCAGCGTGACTGAATCCGGGGTGATTTCAGTCTGCTGCAGGTCAGTGACAGGATATGGCTCTGTTACACAAAACACATCACATCATTTATTAAGTATATTGTTTTAAAGGTCCAAAGTTACACAAAATTTACTCTTATGAGCTTTAAATCATGTTATAATGTTGTTACCTCCTCAAAAACAAGCCTGGTGATGTGTTTTGTTTCATTCACAGCCCTTAACCCTTTAAAGTACTTTAAAGTAACCCTTTATTATTAGTCTGTCTACATCTCCAAAACTCAAAATGCTCTGTTCCACCTTGTGATGTCATCTAATGGTAGTTTTCAAGTTAACCACTCCTTTTAGCTTTAGTTCAGTAGAGATTGGCAATTCCAGACTGACTGAAATCACCCAAATGTTTCTAGTGAAGAGGTATGGAGTTTAAAAACACAGTAGAGCATCCTGTATTACAGACATGCCAAACTCAGGCCCGGGGGCCAAATTTGACCCGCGATATAATTATATTTGGCCCGCGAGATCATATCAAATATGTATTAGAGCTGTCCCGCTGGGTACAGATCGACTATAGAGACATTATTTATTTAAAATTGTGTTATTATTTTATTTTTTGCTTGTTCTGGATTCAGTGTTTGAGCAAAACTATTGATTAAACATTTATTTTAATAAGAAAAGGTTTAACAGTAAATATTTTGAAAGAAGAGAAAACATGCAGTTCAAATTTTTCAATAAATATTTAGTTTGGCCCACGACTTAGTCCCAGTGTTTAATTTTTGCCCTCTGTGAATTTGAGTTTGACAGCCCTGCTGTATTACCACATGACATCACAAGGTGGAACAAAGTGTTTTGAGTCTGAGAGAAGAACTCAGACAAAATTTGCAGGATTTGTGTGTTAAACGTGTGAATGAAACAAAACACAACTCCAGGCTTATTTGTGGTGAGGAACCAACATTATAACACAGATCAGAAAATAGCGTAATATCGGCACTTTAAATATGTTCTTTTAAAAAATGCGGCTAAATGAGTTTTCAGCTCTTACTTGTGTAGGCCACAGCGGTCACTTCCTCGCTTCTGAAGTCATTAACTCCGACAGTAATAACAGTGATCTTGTGGGGAGTTCCAGACTGAAGGTTCTCCTCGGTGATGCCTGCGTGATTTTGAGGCGTTTTGGTTTTGTTGTCAATGGAAACATTGAAGTGGTACTGATCTGGCTGCATATCTTCAGGAGTGTCCCAGGTAAAATTGAGAGAATTCAGTGTCTGAAGGCTCACTTTGAGGTTTCGTGGAGGATTAGGGACTGAAAAGAAAACAGAAATAAAATTAATAATGACAACAGGCTCCTACAACTCCGCTCAAACAGTGAGATTATGCAACAGATAATACTCCCTACAACTGTACAAAAACTCACCCTTATGTACCAGATAATACTCCCTACAACTGTACCACAACTCACCATTATGTAACAAATAATACTCCCTACAACAGTACAATTCACCCTTATGCAACAGATAATACTCCCTACAACTGAACAATTCAGCGTTATGTCAGAGATAATACTCCCTACAACTGTGCAACAACTCACCCTTATGTAACAGATAATACTCCCTACATCTGTACAACCACTTACCCTTATGTAACAGATAATACTCCCTACATCTGTACAACCACTTACCCTTATGTAACAGATAATACTCCCTACATCTGTACAACCACTTACCCTTATGTAAAGGATAATACTCCCTACAACTCTACAACAACTCACCCTTATGTAACAGATAATACTCCCTACATCTGTACAACCACTTACCCTTATGTAACAGATAATACTCCCTACAACTGTACAACAACTCACACTTATGTAACAGATAATACTCCCTACAACTGCACAACAACTCACCTTTATGTAACATATAATACTCCCTACAACTGTACAACCACTTACCCTTATGTAAAGGATAATACTCCCTACAACTCTACAACAATTAACCCTTATGTAACAGATAATACTCCCTACAACTGTACCACAACTCACCTTTATGTAACAGATAATACTCCCTACAACTGTACAACCACTCACCCTTATGTAACAGATAACCCTATGTCTTGTCAATCGTCATATCATTTTTGCGCTGTTTCTCCTTACGACCTCTTGTATATATTTATAATACTATATTTCAATCATTTATTTTACTTAAATATAAACATTTATTTAATTACACCTTATTTGACACAAGTTTCTTGATATTTTTGCTATTTATTTTTATGTATTTATTATGTTTTTGCTCTTTGTTATTATAATATTTTTACATATAATTAGTAGTAGTAGTAGTAGTTTATTCAGTCATTTTGCAGCACTACAAAACAAAACAAAACAAAACATAGACTACAACCCCATGGATCGTGACCGAAAGGGTTTAGGCTGAAGTAAAAAGTAATGCCAAACCCTATATAGACTTAAAAGTGCTTAGAACTGTTATTTCTTCATGTAGTCTGCACTAAAATGGAGCAAAGGATCATGGTTGATGTAGTTCCCTCTGTCTTTTTTCAGCTATTGCTGCACCATAACTCCTAATTTAAGCAAAGACACTTGTATTTCAATATATTGTTTTGGTCCACGATATTATTGTGAGAACTTTGACGATACGATATCACGATATTTCAGTTATTGTTACATCAATAGTGGTCAGTCTGAGCGACCTGCCGGGTCCATCGCTGACCACGCCTACAGGAAGTAACAACATCTGATATAGAGGCTTTGCACCGTCACGTGACCCCTATAGCAACGGTACCTACGCCGCCATGACACCGGGCACGATATGTCATTGACTTCAGCAGCATCGGAGAAACATGGGCAGGTTTTGTCGTGTATTTGGTTCTTCTAGATCAGGGGTCTCAAACCCAAATTACCTGGGGGCCACATTAGATAAAGTCTGAGTGAGGCTGGGCCACATTGAGTATTCGATAAATCCCGGTTGCATGAAAAAAAAAAGAAGCTGTATGTGCACTAGAGGTAAGATCTTAAGACCGAGCCCAAGCCCGACCTAAAATGTCAATCATTACTTCGGGTCGGGTCGGGCTCGGGCTTCAAATAAATATATGTTTATAAAATGTATACTAAAACAATGTGAGGATACTAAACTAAGGAATACTTGTTATAAAATAAATAATTTGGATAAAACAGAGAAGTAATGTAATGTAATTGCTATTTAACTACTAAACAGGATCCGCAGAGCCAGAGCTCTGCGCACGTGAACGCCCCCTCTTAATTTAATAATCTTCCCCTCCGCAAGTCTGCATCTATTTGACCTGGTATCCCCAATATGGAGGAGCAAGAAGTTAAACTAAAGGCAGGAGAACTGAAAAGACAAACACGCACCGGTAAGAGTGAGGTGTGGAAAAGCTTCAAATTGATTGTTGAAAATGCTACAGAAACTTGCGTTGGCTTCGCTGAATGTCGTCAATGTGGCGCTTTGCTTTTATACGAGAGCAAAAAGACTGGCACCTCGACGCTGAGCACTGCTCCTCCTCCCGAGTCCTCACAAATAAAATATGACATTTCGGGTTTGCTTCGGGCTCGGGCCTGCAAATCAAGTTAATTGGTCGGGCTCGGGCCGGGTCGGGTTTTAATACCCGCGGGCCGGGTCGGGTCGGGCTGGATTTTTAGGCCCGATCTCACCTCTAATGTGCACGTGTACTCATATTAACAGATCCACTTAGACTCGTTGCTTCACAACTGCTGTAAATTGAGTTTTGGGATGTAAGCTGCGTTAATAATCTGTTGTTGTAATCTGTTAGTAATCTGCATGGGCACCGATTGCAGCTTCATCTGTCAGTGCGGCCCGCGGTAGGGGGGTGGGATTGTGCGTACATCTACCGCAGGTCGCACAGACATTATTCTTTGGAATTAAGTGGAGGGCCGCAAAAAATCCTTCCGAGGGCCGCAGTTGGCCCCCGGGCTGCGAGTCTGAGACCCCTGTTCTAGATGCTCTGAACGGGATAAAACGATTCGTTTCTTCACTGTTCCTCTGGAAATTACTCATCAGGAGCTCAAACAAGGGAATTATCAGAAAAAAAAACGGGAAGTGAACATAAACCGCGAAGAGATTTCCTATGGTACCATCAAGACACACTCACGTCACTTTCATCAAGGTATTTGCTATTTAAATTGTTTCATAGCTTATTTAATGAGAGAAGCACATTTACTGAACTAAAATGTAAAAAGAAAACATTGCAGTGTGAGTGGCAGTAGAAACTGGATCTTCCAGCGCACATATAAACATGTCACTCGTCGTAGGACCCATGTTTTCTTCATTGTCTTGCTTATCCACAACTATGTCTTCTAGAATTAATCGCTTTTTGCGAGCGGATCTTTCTAACGTTCGCGAGGATCTTTTCATGGCCGATAGCATCTCTATCGTCTGACCTGTAACTTTCAAGGATCGGCTCACAGACTCTTCGACTCGTGCACTATGTTGATCATAGGAGCCCAGTGTGGGTTCGTTGAATTGTAAACTAGTGCGGGTTTTCCTGGATAAATTAATGAAATTTTAGTTCAGTAAATGTGCTTCTTTTATTAAATAAGCTATGAAACAATTTAAATAGCAAATACCTTGATGGTATGATGGTGTCTTGATAGTACCATTGGAAATCTCTTGGCGGTTTATTTTTGCTAGCTACAATCCGCGTCTTTTTTTGATAATTCCCTTGTTTGAGCTCCTGATGAGTCATTTCCAGAGGAATAGTGAAGAAACAATTCATTTTATCCTTTTCAGAGCGTCTAGAACAACCAAATACACAACAAAACCTGCCCATGTTTCTCCAATGCTACTGAAGTCAATAGCATAGCGTGCCCAGTGTCATGGCGGCGTGGGTACGGTTGCTATAGGGGTCACGAGACAGTGCAAAGCCTCTATACGACACGTCAACAACAACAACAGTGACAGTTCTGAAGATGACTTGCAGAGAGCAGTTGAAACATGTCAACAAGGTGTATACTGTATTGTTTTTAAAAAGAACCCAAGAAAGTATAGTGTGTGATATTTGCTTTACTCACATGTTGCATTGCAGGATTCATTAGACTCAGCCTGTAATTGTCCAGTATTGGTGAACACTCTGGCGCAGTATTGCACTCCAGGTTTGAGGCCAGTGAACGTTGTGCTGAAAGTATCTTTGCTGAGAGGTTCCTTGGTTTGGACTCCTTGGCCAGTGCTGTTGTAAACTGTCACACTATAGTGATCCACGCCTCCCTGTGCCTTATCCCAGCTCACTGTGAGGCTGGTTGTGGTTCCTGAGACTTCTGTAATGGTGACAGCTGCAGGTTCTGAAATGTGTACAAATAATTGTTAGTTATTTTATGTGTCACACGAAGAAAGCTGCTATGATCTGTAAAATGTCACAGAGGAAGATTTTATTATGAAAAAGAAACTCAATAAATAACATATTATGAGGTTTTGAGGAAAATTTGAATTACAATTTTTTGGTAAATGGTCACAGTTTTTAATGTAGCACATTTCCACCTTTTCCACACCAATGTACATAGACACTAGAGTGGGATTTGAACCACCAACCTTCAGATCAGCTCTTATTTATTGAATTATTTTTTTACATTCAGTTGATTCATCACAGGTACAATTTTCCCCGAAACGCAAATGTTGATTTTTGATAATAATATTTTGTTCACAGTCAGGTTAAGGTCAGGGTGAGGATCAGGGTTAGGTTAAGAGACAGTTTAAGTTTACAAGTTTAAGTTTTTTTTGTTTTGTTTTTTTCAGTTAGGTCTGCTAAAACTGAGCTGTAATCCACATGAAACCAAAACTGGCACAACGTCTTCTCTGTCAGCATAAATAAAAAAAAAGTGAAGAACCCTGCCACAATAACTTTAGAAAGTACCGTATTTTATGGATGATAAGTTGCACTTTTTCCATGGTTTGGGTGTTTCCTGCGACTTATACTCTGGTGTGACATATATTAAAATTTTCACAATGACAGCTGCAAGAGACTCTAGGCTTGTGTGTGAGTATCTGCTGCTCCTATTACTCCTGTACCACTGTCACTTGGCTCTACTGCGCATGTCTCCTGCAGAAAACTGCTGTAAGTAGAGAAATATTCAGCCGAAAAGTGTAATCGAGCAGAAGAAAGAAAGTCTAGAGTGAGCGAGAAACTGGCGGAAAGCGGGGATGGAGAACATAGCTTCACGGCAGCCGGGAGGGTGCACCATGCAACTTTCATGGAAGTCACTGGATGGATCGACAAAGCCTGGACCTCAGTGACACCGAAACCATCTTGTCGGGATTCAGAAAGACCAGAATAATTCTACCTGGAGCTGACGCTGAGTCTGACGACAGCTACACCGAAGAGGAAGTGGTGCTCTGTTAACCCCAGGAGGTCATGGAGTTGCTCAGAAATGACACCGAAGATGAAGAATTCAATGGATTTAGTGATTTGGACTGAGAAGGAGAGTTTGCTAAACTTGTTCTGTTATGCTATAGTTATCTGAATAACTGTTCATGTTACGTTAACATATCAGACGCCTATTTAGCCTGTTGTTCTCTGTTATTGTTATTACTATAACTTGCCTTTCAAGATGAAATGTCGGTTCCTGGTCTCTAATTTTATAAAATAAATTTCCCCCAAAAAGTGCAACTTATATATGTTTTTTCTTCTTCATTACCCATTTTTTGGCCGGTGCGACTTATACTGTGGTGCGACTTATAGTTAAAAAAATACGGTAGTGCCATTATTCAAATCGAAAAGCAATTCAGTCAAAAGGACTTTAAGACATTATATTAAAATAGCAAGTCTTTGGAAACGATGGCTGACAAATGACACTATGGTTCAACATTTATGGATAAAGTTTGAATATTTCTTTCCAAAACAGACACCAGCTCTCTATGAAATAATCAAGTGTTATCTGGCATCTTACTTGTATAGTTGGAGACCTCTTCTTTTGTGGACTGACATGCTTCTGCTAACACTGTGATCACAGATATCTTGTATTCAGTTCCTGGTTTCAGTCCAGTTACACTTTTAGAGTTGCCTTGAAGAGAATCATTTTTGACTAAATTTCCTGTGGGGTCATAGATGTAAATACGGTAGGAGTAAGTTGGCTTGTGGTCTGATGGGTAGGCCCAGTTGACTTTCAGTGATGTGGTGGATTCTGGGAATGCTCCAAGATGCAAAACTGGATTTGGATCTAGTGAGAAAAAGAAAATTTCAAGTTAGCAGTTGCTTAAAGGTTGTATGGAGGATTTTTTTGGTTTCAAATTGTCAATGATTAATGATAATGAGCATTATAGAGGTGCAGTAGCCTTGTAATTATGATGACCAAAAAAAAGAGAATAAAAATTAATCAACTCTGGACGTGGTGGGGACAGATAAACATTTGCCAATAGATAACGACACTGCCTCGTTATCTGTTAGCTGACAGGTTGTCAATCAATCTCCCTACGTTTCTAGCGTAACTGACTTGCCTGCGCCGCCGGTACGTGGTTTACGTACGCCTGTCACGCAGTCCACAGACGCAAGACGCACAGACGCTGTTTACTCCACCAACGCAACAGTTCTTAGCGGCTTTTTTTTACCTATATCTTCCTCGCAGTTCGCACAAAGTTTGTTGCAATGACGACAAGAATCCAGGAGCAGTTAGCCGCAAAAGAAAGTCCGTTTTGAGATTGCTGAAAGAAGAAGACAAGGGGAAAAGCAGCGAAGCCAAACTAAGGTGATTCTTGTAGATTAATTCCAGCGATGGCGCAACTGAAGCAGACACAGGGTCTAAAGACTGACGCACTGGTCGCCAAATTACTCCTGGACAGGTCACTTCTGCTTATTATGAAAACGTGCTTTATTTCCAAGAGCGAGACAAACGTTTTTCAGGACACGAAAGCGATATCCTATGTCTGAAAACGTAATTTTCAAGGCAAAGAAAGAGTCCGCTTGCTGCTGCGTGTTGTAGCTAGTTCATTCACACGGAATCTCCGCGCAACCTTCTCTGCACCCCTTTCCTGCTCCTCTCCCCGCTGCCCGATCCGCTCTTCCCCCTGCTCCTCACTTCTCCGGGCACGGAATCTCCGCGCACCGCTCCCCTCTACTCTCTCCTCTCCTCTCTCCCCGCTCCGCTCTTCTCCCTGCTCCTCACTTCTCGTCAGCGAACGAAATGTCCGCACACCCGCTCCTCACTTCTCCGTCTTGCCTAACCAACACTGTAGTTAGTTGTTTACAAGTCATGTGCAGCGCACCGGCTGTAAACAAACCTGTTTCTGGCGTAAAGAGGAGGCGGGAGAAGGCGTTTCTACGTAGGAGCTGTGGGGGAGGGGGGTGGTTTCACGCATGCGCAACATTTGAAAAAGGACAAACAGTCGCTGGATTTCTCGTTCCTTGGAAAATCCTCTATACAACCTTTAAAGGTAAACTATGTAACTTTTCTGGTGAGAAGTCCGCCACCTGCTGGTCTTTACAAAAATGTTATTGCTACATTGGACAATATACTAGTAGAGTATTTATTTCCATTAAAGTGGAACTTTTCAGAGCTTTTTACCATGTTACAGCTGTTCCCTTTTCTCATTTACACTCTGGAAGTTGTATTTGGAGTAATTCTTGTTTGAGTAATCTTAAATTGTTAATTTTTTTAATAGAATTCAGCAGCATTTCGTAGTAATTTTGGTACAAATGAAAAAAAAAAAACAGTTGTTATCGCAATTTTGAGCTGCAGCTATCCAATCAGAGGTGCCAACTCCTTGTTGTGATGATAGCAAAGAAAAATGTAATTCTGTCACAAAAGTTTAAAGCTCAATATATAATAGCTTGTTCACTAGTTCTAGCTCAAAAACAGAGACTGTAAACAGATAGGTGAGTTAGTTTCAGAGTAGTTTCAGTGTAGTTACTTCCTCCCTTCAGGCAGATACAAGGCCAGGGTATCCCCAGGTTTGACTACCCCAAATTTAAGACGTTTTTAAGACCTTTTTAAGGCCATTTAAATGAAAATTAAGACCAACATCGCACCCATTATGCGGGCACAAAACACCAGATCCAATTTTAATAATGACCAACCAACTACTATATCTACAATCTAAGAGCCACTGTGGATTAAACCTACACTTCCCCATGATCCATCCAACGTCTTCATATACTGTACTGATTGCCGCCATTGCCAGAAAGTATTGTGTGCGCATACTCAAAATTAGACATTCATTTTGCCTTGTTTTTTTTTTCCTCCCTCAGTTTAACATTGCACTGCAGAGAGATTGAGTATAAAAATAGGCTAATGAAATTTAAGACCTTTGTGGAAAAAAATCAGCCTTGGACAATGTAATTTAAGACTTTTTAAGGCCTTTTTAAGACCCCGTGGCTACCCTGAAGGCAGTTTCCACCAGCGTCTGACCACAACTGAAGAAGCAGCTTGGATGAGATCCAAACATCTTCACGCCAAAAACTTCTGTCCAGTTACAGAATACAATTGTTCTTTTGCTATGTATCCTACCTGGATAACTGAGCGATAACACCAGGCATGTCCAAACTATGGCCCATGGGCCAAATGCAGCCCTCAGACAGATTTTTCTTGGCCCTCAGGCTTCCAGGTTAATTGGCCCAAATTACCTTGCATCAATTAAAAATGAACTTTTTACTGTAAGTGTTTTTGAAAGTCTACCTTGATAAAGATAATATTTAATATTTAGTGTGTGTTTTTAAGGGTCTTAGAATGAATAAAGACTGATGGCTCATTCTAACGTGTTGAACATGCTCATCTTTCAATTATTCACTGTATTGAGCACCAGTCTGCGGCCCTCGATCAGCCCTCTGCTTTGTCTGTGTTTAGATATGTGGACCTTGATGAAAAAGTTTCCCTTTGGGCACCACAGGTTTAAAATGCAGAAGTCAGCGCACTTGTTTTCTTTTATTAAGCCTTTTCAGATTAATGATATGATTTTTTTTTAAACGTGAAAATTATCACATAATGATCCACAGGTGTCATAGATTATAACAATATCATATATATATATATATATATATATATATATATATATATATATATATATATATATATATATATATATATATATACATATATAACCAAAATAGAGACCAAACTAGGTCAAGTTACTGGTCAGATCTGTGGAGAGGCAACCTCTCTCACAGTCAGAATGCATGTTTTTCTAGGTATTTCTAAGCGATAAAACCACCTGTAATTGAATAAATGTAAGGTAGAGCTGTTTAATGCCATACTGTGGAACATTCCAGCCAGAGCAATAACATATCCATAAAACCAAGCAGGTGATGGATCCCCAACCCAAAAGTTACATAGTAGTACACCTTTAAATACTTACTAGTACAAGCCTTGATGTTTATACCAGTGCTGTGGAGGTTCTGGGGTCCCACACTTTTCACAGTCATATTATAGTGAAACCCAGACTGAAGGTTAGGCAGAGTTGCAGTCGTCTTTGTGAATGTCAAAGAAACTCCCTCATATGAAATGCTGTAATTGATGTTTGGAGCATCTTGCATTTTAGGATTCACATCCCAACTCAGATTAAGATAGGAGTTTGTTCTGCCAGCAATCTTGACAGACTGTGGAGGCAGTGGATCTGGAACATGAAGTCAAGTTAATTTACAGTTTATAAATTATTTAAAAAATTTAATTAAATGAGTCTTACAAGTAGCAAATTCTGATTCTGAAGTGTTTTTGAAGTTTCCAGCAACAGCAGTTACAGTGACAGTGTGGAGTCGTCCAGGTGATAAATCAGAGAATTGGAACCAAGTGTTATCAGTCTGATGTTTCTGGTTCAACTCTACTTCATAGTGATCCACATGGCCTCCAGGTAAGGTCCAGCTAATATTCAGGCTACTGGTGTCTCTATGGTTGACAGTGACATCAGGCTTCATAGGTCCTGTTAATGAGAAGAATATTTCAGTTTTATGTTTTCAGATATTAGTGTTCAAACAGTAACACTAACTCATATAACACCCAGCTACAGAGGTCAGTAAATATATAATGTGTGGAAACAGTTAACTGGGAAAATTAAATAAAGTGAGGAAATAAAGTTGAATTTTCATCATTGTGAATAGCACGGACAGAAAATACTACACAGGTCCCTCACGTTGACTCCAAAACGGAGTTGCTGAACTGAAGATAAATTCACAGAGTAAAACAGTGAACTTATGAACTTTATTTCACTGGACTTTTCCTCTTCCCATATTGTACTTACTTGTGTACAGTACTTCACTCACACCAACTCCTTTTGTTTCATTATCTCCTGCCACAGCAGTGACAGTTATAGTATACTCCACACCTGCAGTCAGGTTAGTGATGCCTTTGAATGGCTCAGTCACATTATCTGTTTTGGAGTCATTTCCACTAACCCACTGTACTATGTAGAAGGAGCTGTGCCCCTCTGGTTCAGTCCAGTTCAAATACATGGATGATGTTGTGACACCAGTAACAGTGAGTTTACTGATCTGTCCAGGTTCTGTTGGTTATAGAGCAGAAATATTCAATAATTTTATTCTAAAGTGGAATTAGTGTTAAAGGTGCACCATGCAACATCTGCGTGAGGATCCCACACATGTTTATCTCCATGGAGATGATATAACTGGGATGTCCCAGAGTATGACATTAAACAAATCTACTAGTTTGTCTATGGAGAGAAGCAGGTGAAGCCACCAGACCAAGTTACAGGTCAGACAATAGAAATGCTAGCCTGATGACTCTGAGAATGTTTTTAAGGTATTTGTTAACCAAAAATCACCTCATATTGAATAAAAGCTACATAGATGTGTTTAATGCCATAGAGTGGAGCATTGTAAGCTAAAATTCATTTCTCAATGGAAACGAGCAGGTAATAAAGCTGCCAACAGCAGGGGCAGTGCCAGTGGGTGAAGGGGCACTAGTCTCCCCAAGAATGGCCAACACACCCCCATAGTTCCAACAAAGACTTTTGCCCCATTTTCACTTTTTCATAAGACTTTCAATCTTGACTGAAAATGTTCAGATTGCAACTAAAACATTATTTTTTGAATTAAGACTACAGTTTTAATAAATTATTCCATATTAGGTTTTATAAATCAGGGATTAACTACATTTAAACTGGTTTAAAACAGTGACGCAAACATGGCAGGGGGTGTGGGTGAACTCCACTGTTAAAAGATTCTGTATTTACATATTTTGTGGACACTCCCACTGAGGAACTTAGCACCCCATAGATGCTCCAACCAAAAATGTCTGGCACTGCCCCTGGTCAACAGAAAAGTTGCCTAGTGCAGATTTAGGGATTTATAACACTGAATGTATCTGACACTGTCACATCTCTGGACTCTCTGTTACACACAGTTTCTTGTCTATAAATAAGTTCTATCAGGAACCAGTTTCATCTTAGTTTGAACTTAGTTCATACAATCTAATAGTGAAAAAAAGCTCTTCCTTATCTGATTATTGACCCATCAATGAAAATACCCCACAGATTAATCAATAAACTCAATATTTTAGGATGCAGTGAAACATTCTCCTTCAGACTTTACCAGGCCCTTGTGAAAAGTGTCACATACAAAGAGCGTGACATGTGAAACTGTCAACATTTTTCACTTTAAACACACTGGACTCTTCCTCTTCCCATATTGTACTTACTTGTGTACTGCACTTTACTCACACCAACTCCTTTTGTTTCACTGTCTCCTGCCACAGCAGTGACAGTTATAGTATACTCCACACCTGCAGTCAGGTTAGTGATGCCTTTGAATGGCTCAGTCACATTATCTGTTTTGGAGTCATTTCCACTAACCCACTGTACTATGTAGAAGGAGCTTTGTCCCTCTGGTTCAGTCCAGCTCAAATTCATGGACGATGTTGTGACACCAGTAACAGTGAGTTTACTGATCTGTCCAGGTTCTGTTGGTCAGAACAGAGACATAAAACAGAATATAATGATGTAATTCAAGTTTTAAGGACAGAATGTGTCGTGTCTCACTGTCAGGACTTCAGACTCAGTTTAAGAGGACTAAACATTTATGATGAACTATACTGATACAGACTGATCTGTTTTATTCCCTAACCACAGAGCTGAGTCCAAATTGAAAGTCACAAACCAGTCAGGAGTTTCACTAGAATTCAACTCAAGATATACATTAAATCCAACAAGTCAAGTCTCACAGACCAAAACAGAAATCTATCAGCAGTGGCTCTGAGGAGAGTGTGAAGTCCAGGCCCAGAACACAGGGTTTACCCAACACCACGCTAAAAACACACCCACAAAAGAAAGAGACTAAACAGACAAAACTGTCATCAGAAAGTCAGTTTCCTTCAGTCCACTGTGCTATGTAGAAGGAGCTGAGACTCTCTGGTCCAGCTCAAAGTCATGGAGGTACATGTGTCACTGGTAACAACTGAGTTTTGATCAAACCAAGTAACAAAACATGGAGGAATAACTCTTAATGAATGATGAGAACATTAACAGCTAATGCACACCAGAGCACGATAAACAACAAACCAGAAGTTATGTCCAAAGGAAAACAAAGGAAAACTGAACTTACTTGTGTAAACTCTTAGTTCTGTGTCACCTCCTCTAGTCCAGTTATCTCCTGCCACAGCAGTGACAGTTATAGTATACTCCACACCTGCAGTCAGGTTAGTGATGCCTTTGAATGGCTCAGTCACATTATCTGTTTTGGAGTCATTTCCACTAACCCACTGTACTATGTAGAAGGAGCTTTGTCCCTCTGGTTCAGTCCAGCTCAAATTCATGGACGATGTTGTGACACCAGTAACAGTGAGTTTACTGATCTGTCCAGGTTCTGTTGGTTATAGAGCAGAAATATTCAATAACTTTATTCTAAAGTGGAATTAGTGTTAAAGGTGCACCATGTAACATCTGCATGAGGATCCTGCACACATTTATCTCCATGGAGATGATATAACTGGGATGTCCCAGAGTATGACATTAAACAAATCTACTAGTTTGTCTATGGAGAGAAGCAGGTGAAGCCACCAGACCAAGTTACAGGTCAGACAATAGAAATGCTAGCCTGATGACTCTGAGAATGTTTTTAAGGTATTTGTTAGCCAAAAATCACCTCATATTGAATAAAAGCTACATAGATGTGTTTAATGCCATAGAGTGGAGCATTGTAAGATAAAATTCATTTCTCAATGGAAACGAGCAGGTAATAAAGCTGCCAACAGCAGGGGCAGTGCCAGTGGGTGAAGGGGCACTAGTCTCCCCAAGAATGGCCAACACACCCCCATAGTTCCAACAAAGACTTTTGCCCCATTTTCACTTTTTCATAGGATTTTCAATCTTGACTGAAAATGTTTATGTGGCAACTAAAAAGATTTTAAGATAAGACTACAATTTTGAAAAATAATTCCATATTAGGTTTTATAAATCAGGGACTAACTACATTTAAACTGGTTTAAAACAGTGATGCAAACATGGCAGGGGGTGTGGGTGAACTCCACTGTTAAAAGACTCTATATTTACATATTTTGTGGACACTCCCACTGAGGAACTTAGCACCCCATAGATGCTCCAACCAAAAATGTCTGGCACCGCCCCTGGTCAAACAGAAAAGTTGCCTAGTGCAGATTTAGGGATTTATAACACTGAATGTATCTGACACTGTCACATCTCTGGACTCTCTGTTACACACAGTTTCTTGTCTATAAATAAGTTCTATCAGGAACCAGTTTTATAATAGTTTGAACTTAGTTAATACAATCTAATAGTGAAAAAAAGCTCTTCCTTATCTGATTATTGACCCATCAATGAAAATACTCCACAGATTAATCAATAAACTCAATATTTTAGGATGCAGTGAAACATTCTCCTTCAGACTTTACCAGGCCCTTGTGAAAAGTGTCACATACAAAGAGCGTGATATGTGAAACTGTCAACATTTTTCACTTTAAACACACTGGACTCTTCCTCTTTTTCCCATATTGTACTTACTTGTGTACTGCACTTTACTCACACCAACTCCTTTTGTTTCACTGTCTCCTGCCACAGCAGTGACAGTTATAGTATACTCCACACCTGCAGTCAGGTTAGTGATGCCTTTGAATGGCTCAGTCACATTATCTGTTTTGGAGTCATTTCCACTAACCCACTGTACTATGTAGAAGGAGCTTTGTCCCTCTGGTTCAGTCCAGTTCAAATTCATGGACGATGTTGTGACACCAGTAACAGTGAGTTTACTGATCTGTCCAGGTTCTGTTGGTCAGAACAGAGACATAAAACAGAATATAATGATGTAATTCAAGTTTTAAGGACAGAATGTGTCGTGTCTCACTGTCAGGACTTCAGACTCAGTTTAAGAGGACTAAACATTTTGATGAACTATACTGATACAGACTGATCTGTTTTATTCCCTAACCACAGAGCTGAGTCCAAATTGAAAGTCACAAACCAGTCAGGAGTTTCACTAGAATTCAACTCAAGATATACATTAAATCCAACAAGTCAAGTCTCACAGACCAAAACAGAAATCTATCAGCAGTGGCTCTGAGGAGAGTGTGAAGTCCAGGCCCAGAACACAGGGTTTACCCAACACCACGCTAAAAACACACCCACAAAAGAAAGAGACTAAACAGGCAAAACTGTCATCAGAAAGTCAGTTTCTTTCAGTCCACTGTGCTATGTAGAAGGAGCTGAGACTCTCTGGTCCAGCTCAAAGTCATGGAGGTACATGTGTCACTGGTAACAACTGAGTTTTGATCAAACCAAGTAACAAAACATGGAGGAATAACTCTTAATGAATGATGAGAACATTAACAGCTAATGAACACCAGAGCACGATAAACAACAAACCAGAAGTTATGTCCAAAGGAAAACAAAGGAAAACTGAACTTACTTGTGTAAACTCTTAGTTCTGTGTCACCTCCTCTAGTCCAGTCATCTCCTGCCACAGCAGTGACAGTTATAGTATACTCCACACCTGCAGTCAGGTTAGTGATGCCTTTGAATGGCTCAGTCACATTATCTGTTTTGGAGTCATTTCCACTAACCCACTGTACTATGTAGAAGGAGCTTTGTCCCTCTGGTTTAGTCCAGCTCAAATACATGGACGATGTTGTGACACCAGTAACAGTGAGTTTACTGATCTGTCCAGGTTCTGTTGGTTATAGAGCAGAAATATTCAATAATTTTATTCTAAAGTGGAATTAGTGTTAAAGGTGCACCATGTAACATCTGCATGAGGATCCTGCACACATTTATCTCCATGGAGATGATATAACTGGGATGTCCCAGAGTATGACATTAAACAAATCTACTAGTTTGTCTATGGAGAGAAGCAGGTGAAGCCACCAGACCAAGTTACAGGTCAGACAATAGAAATGCTAGCCTGATGACTCTGAGAATGTTTTTAAGGTATTTGTTAACCAAAAATCACCTCATATTGAATAAAAGCTACATAGATGTGTTTAATGCCATAGAGTGGAGCATTGTAAGCTAAAATTCATTTCTCAATGGAAACGAGCAGGTAATAAAGCTGCCAACAGCAGGGGCAGTGCCAGTGGGTGAAGGGGCACTAGTCTCCCCAAGAATGGCCAACACACCCCCATAGTTCCAACAAAGACTTTTGCCCCATTTTCACTTTTTCATAAGACTTTCAATCTTGACTGAAAATGTTCAGATTGCAACTAAAACATTATTTTTTGAATTAAGACTACAGTTTTAATAAATTATTCCATATTAGGTTTTATAAATCAGGGATTAACTACATTTAAACTGGTTTAAAACAGTGACGCAAACATGGCAGGGGGTGTGGGTGAACTCCACTGTTAAAAGATTCTGTATTTACATATTTTGTGGACACTCCCACTGAGGAACTTAGCACCCCATAGATGCTCCAACCAAAAATGTCTGGCACCGCCCCTGGTCAACAGAAAAGTTGCCTAGTGCAGATTTAGGGATTTATAACACTGAATGTATCTGACACTGTCACATCTCTGGACTCTCTGTTACACACAGTTTCTTGTCTATAAATAAGTTCTATCAGGAACCAGCTTTATAATAGTTTGAACTTAGTTAATACAATCTAATAGTGAAAAAAAGCTCTTCCTTATCTGATTATTGACCCATCAATGAAAATACCCCACAGATTAATCAATAAACTCAATATTTTAGGATGCAGTGAAACATTCTCCTTCAGACTTTACCAGGCCCTTGTGAAAAGTGTCACATACAAAGAGTGCGACATGTGAAACTGTCAACATTTTTCACTTTAAACACACTGGACTCTTCCTCTTCCCATATTGTACTTACTTGTGTACTGCACTTTACTCACACCAACTCCTTTTGTTTCACTGTCTCCTGCCACAGCAGTGACAGTTATAGTATACTCCACACCTGCAGTCAGGTTAGTGATGCCTTTGAATGGCTCAGTCACATTATCTGTTTTGGAGTCATTTCCACTAACCCACTGTACTATGTAGAAGGAGCTTTGTCCCTCTGGTTTAGTCCAGCTCAAATTCATGGACGATGTTGTGACACCAGTAACAGTGAGTTTACTGATCTGTCCAGGTTCTGTTGGTCAGAACAGAGACATAAAACAAAATATAATGATGTAATTCAAGTTTTAAGGACAGAATGTGTCGTGTCTCACTGTCAGGACTTCAGACTCAGTTTAAGAGGACTAAACATTTATGATGAACTATACTGATACAGACTGATCTGTTTTATTCCCTAACCACAGAGCTGAGTCCAAATTGAAAGTCACAAACCAGTCAGGAGTTTCACTAGAATTCAACTCAAGATATACATTAAATCCAACAAGTCAAGTCTCACAGACCAAAACAGAAATCTATCAGCAGTGGCTCTGAGGAGAGTGTGAAGTCCAGGCCCAGAACACAGGGTTTACCCAACACCACGCTAAAAACACACCCACAAAAGAAAGAGACTAAACAGGCAAAACTGTCATCAGAAAGTCAGTTTCTTTCAGTCCACTGTGCTATGTAGAAGGAGCTGAGACTCTCTGGTCCAGCTCAAAGTCATGGAGGTACATGTGTCACTGGTAACAACTGAGTTTTGATCAAACCAAGTAACAAAACATGGAGGAATAACTCTTAATGAATGATGAGAACATTAACAGCTAATGAACACCAGAGCACGATAAACAACAAACCAGAAGTTATGTCCAAAGGAAAACAAAGGAAAACTGAACTTACTTGTGTAAACTCTTAGTTCTGTGTCACCTCCTCTAGTCCAGTCATCTCCTGCCACAGCAGTGACAGTTATAGTATACTCCACACCTGCAGTCAGGTTAGTGATGCCTTTGAATGGCTCAGTCACATTATCTGTTTTGGAGTCATTTCCACTAACCCACTGTACTATGTAGAAGGAGCTTTGTCCCTCTGGTTCAGTCCAGTTCAAATACATGGACGATGTTGTGACACCAGTAACAGTGAGTTTACTGATCTGTCCAGGTTCTGTTGGTTATAGAGCAGAAATATTCAATAATTTTATTCTAAAGTGGAATTAGTGTTAAAGGTGCACCATGTAACATCTGCGTGAGGATCCTGCACACATTTATCTCCATGGAGATGATATAACTGGGATGTCCCAGAGTATGACATTAAACAAATCTACTAGTTTGTCTATGGAGAGAAGCAGGTGAAGCCACCAGACCAAGTTACAGGTCAGACAATAGAAATGCTAGCCTGATGACTCTGAGAATGTTTTTAAGGTATTTGTTAACCAAAAATCACCTCATATTGAATAAAAGCTACATAGATGTGTTTAATGCCATAGAGTGGAGCATTGTAAGCTAAAATTCATTTCTCAATGGAAACGAGCAGGTAATAAAGCTGCCAACAGCAGGGGCAGTGCCAGTGGGTGAAGGGGCACTAGTCTCCCCAAGAATGGCCAACACACCCCCATAGTTCCAACAAAGACTTTTGCCCCATTTTCACTTTTTCATAAGACTTTCAATCTTGACTGAAAATGTTCAGATTGCAACTAAAACATTATTTTTTGAATTAAGACTACAGTTTTAATAAATTATTCCATATTAGGTTTTATAAATCAGGGATTAATTACATTTAAACAGGTTTAAAACAGTGATGCAAACATGGCAGGGGGTGTGGGTGAACTCCACTGTTAAAAGACTCTATATTTACATATTTTGTGGACACTCCCACTGAGGAACTTAGCACCCCATAGCTGCTCCAACCAAAAATGTCTGGCACCGCCCCTGGTCAAACAGAAAAGTTGCCTAGTGCAGATTTAGGGATTTATAACACTGAATGTATCTGACACTGTCACATCTCTGGACTCTCTGTTACACACAGTTTCTTGTCTATAAATAAGTTCTATCAGGAACCAGTTTTATAATAGTTTGAACTTAGTTAATACAATCTAATAGTGAAAAAAAGCTCTTCCTTATCTGATTATTGACCCATCAATGAAAATACCCCACAGATTAATCAATAAACTCAATATTTTAGGATGCAGTGAAACATTCTCCTTCAGACTTTACCAGGCCCTTGTGAAAAGTGTCACATACAAAGAGTGCGACATGTGAAACTGTCAACATTTTTCACTTTAAACACACTGGACTCTTCCTCTTCCCATATTGTACTTACTTGTGTACTGCACTTTACTCACACCAACTCCTTTTGTTTCACTGTCTCCTGCCACAGCAGTGACAGTTATAGTATACTCCACACCTGCAGTCAGGTTAGTGATGCCTTTGAATGGCTCAGTCACATTATCTGTTTTGGAGTCATTTCCACTAACCCACTGTACTATGTAGAAGGAGCTTTGTCCCTCTGGTTTAGTCCAGCTCAAATTCATGGACGATGTTGTGACACCAGTAACAGTGAGTTTACTGATCTGTCCAGGTTCTGTTGGTTATAGAGCAGAAATATTTAAAAGCTTATTCTGAAGTGAAATCAGTGTTAAAAGTGCACCATGGAACGTCTGGTTGAGGATCCCTCACATGCTTGTCTCCATGGAGTTCTGGGATAAATATGTTTAATGCCATAGAGTGGAACATTCCAAGCAAATAAATAAGATCTCCATGGAAACAAACAGAAAAGTTGCCTAGTGCAGATTTAGGGATTTATAACACTGAATGTCTCTGACACTGTCACATCTCTGGACTCTCTGTTACACACAGTTTCTTGTCTATAAATAAGTTCTATCAGAAACCAGTTTTATAATAGTTTGAACTTAGTTAATACAAACTCATATTAAAAAAGCTCTTCCTTATCTGATTATTGACCCATCAATGAAAATACTCCACAGATTAATCAATGAACTGAATATTTTAGGATGCAGTGAAACATTCTCCTTCAGACTTTACCAGGCCCTTGTGAAAAGTGTCACATACAAAGAGCGTGATGTGTGAAACTGTCAACATTTTTTAATTCACATTTTTCATATTGTACTTACTTGTGTACTGCACTTTACTCACACCAGCTCCTTTTGTTTGACTGTCTCCTGCCACAGCAGTGACAGTTATAGTATACTCCACACCTGCAGTCAGGTTAGTGATGCCTTTGAATGGCTCAGTCACATTATCTGTTTTGGAGTCATTTCCACTAACCCACTGTACTATGTAGAAGGAGCTGTGCCCCTCTGGTTTAGTCCAGTTCAAATACATGGACGATGTTGTGACACCAGTAACAGTGAGTTTACTGATCTGTCCAGGTTCTGTTGTTTAAAGCAGAGACATAAAATAAAACATTCTGTTCTTAGACTGATCAGCAAAAACTATCATCTGCACTGGTTTAATTCCAACAGCCATGTGAGAGCTGTGTCCATCTGGTTCAGTCCACTGCAGTCACTGATAATTATGTGACAGCAGTAACAGATCATGCAGTAATACAGGAAGTGCTCCACTGTGTTTTTAAACTCTGTAAACCTTCACTAGAATCATTTGGATAATGTGAGCTCTGGAATTGCCAATCTCTAGTAAAACAAAGTTAAACCGCAGCTGTAAACCTGAAAACTACTGCTTCATGACAGAGCAGAGCATTTTGAGCTTTGGAGTAGTATCAGCAGAAAATGACTAACAGCATAAAAGCATCTAAATCATTACAAAGATCAGACATAGGAAAAGATCAGCAGTACTTATGTCATTTCATACTTACTTGTATAAACAGATGTGGTGACTCCTTCTCCTTTAGTGAGCCCATCTCCTGCCACTGCAATGACTGTGACATTATACTGCACCCCAGGGGTCAGAGCAGAGATTGTCACTGATGTAGTTGGAACAGACGTATTTTTAGTTTGTCCGTCATCACCAGTCCATTTTACATCATAGCTAGAGATTTTTCCAGTGGGTTTATCCCACTTTAGGCTCAGAGAGGATGTTGTGCTCTCAATGTTGAGGCTGGAGACTTTTTCAGGCTCTGTCAAACAAACAAAACACAACAAAGATTCCGTTTCAAATTAGAAAATACACCTTAAAACAAAATAAAGGTTAGTGAATAGCACACTGCAAAAAAAAATGATCTGAGTAAGCTCCAGTAAGCTTTGAGTAGATTTCACTTGACAACTAAAATTATCTACCAAAAACTGTGTGGAGAATCTCTCAGTCATCCAGGTAGAATCCATGACAAAGGAGAAATTCAGTTTGTTAACTGGATGTTTATTTAGGTCGAAAACATTTCGCAGCTTGGGTAAACTGCCTAAATAAATGTTCCTCCAGCTCCTCTGTGGGGACACCCAGGCTTTCCCAGGCCAGCTGAGAGACATAGTCCCTCCAGTGTGTCCTGGGTCTTCCCTGGGGCCTCCTTATGGTGGGACATGCCTGGAACACCTGCTGAGGGAGCCGAGGAGGCATCCAGAACAGATGCCTGAGCCACCTCAGCTGGCTCCTCGACTCCGAGCTCCTCCCGTGTGATTGAGCTCGTCACTCTATTTCTAAGGAAACTCATTTCGACCGCTTGTATCCGTGATCTTGTCCTTTCGATTCTTATACAAAGCTCATGGCCACAGCTCCTTCTTCACCAAAAGTTGTTCTTTTTCTTCAGTGTAACTTGGTGTATTTTCCTATTTCAATTACAAAAATACTTTTTCCATTGGTAGACCATCTTACTTCTTATGTGAAATGTACTCAAATCAATATAACATGTTCTTAATTCAAGTTATTTTTAACTTGGCTAGATGTCAGTTTTTGTCGTACATGCACCAGTTTTAACTTTAAAAATGCACTATGTAACATTTCTGGTGGAGGGTCTGCCACCTTTTTAATGTTAATGCTTTGCCTGTAATGCTCCACAGTATAACAGTAATCTTTTAGAATTTCTTTAATTATAGAGACAGTGTAATCCTTGTTATGTCGAGGAGTGGTTCAGTGTAGACGAGGTTTCATTCGTGATCTTTTTTTGTGATCGATGTTTTGGCTCCAATACAGAATCAATTTTCAGTTGATGGACCTTGATCCTCTGGGGATATAGTCTGGGTACCTGGATCCAACCCAAAAAGGGAGGAGTTTTTATACTTATTTAATTATAGTCAAATGTATTGCTTAAAATACCTTGAAAATATGCATTCAAACTGGGCCAACTCTCCACAGATCTGACCTGTAACTTAGCCTGTTAGCATTATGCATGTCTCTAAGGAGATGAGTTTAATGTCATTCTGTGGAACTTTCCAGGAAAAGCAAAACCATCTTTAGGAGCAGTGGTGTAAGAAGTACATGTAAGTAGTTCTTGTTTAGTAAAAGTACAGATGCTGAAGCAAAAAATACAAAAAAGTAAAAGAATTACGGTGCCAGGGGTGAAGGGGTGGGGGTCTTAAAAGGGCACTAGGCTCCCCTTGAATGGCCAATGCACCCACATAGTTCCAACAAAGACTTTTGCCTCATTTTCATAGGACATCCAATCTTGACAGAAAATGTTCATATGGCAACTAAAAAGTTTTCAAAATAAGACTATAATTAAGGGGAAAAAAATCCATATTAGGTTTTATAAATCACTGCAGAGACTAACTACATTTAAACTGGATTAAAACAGTGAAGCCAACATGGCAGGTGGTGTGGGTGAACTCCACTGTTAAAAGAATCTATATTTACATATTTAGTGGACACTGACACTGTCACATCTTTACTCTCAGTTACACACAGTTTCTTCTCTATAAATAAGTTCTATCAGGAACCAGATTAGTTTGAACTTAGTTCATACAAACTCATTGTAAAAAAAGCTCTTCCTTTTCTGATTATTACATCAATGAAAATACTCCACAGATTAATCAATGAACTGAATATTTTAGGATGCAGTGAAACTTTCTCCTTCAGACTTTACCAGGCCCTTGTGAAAAGTGTCACATACAAAGAGCGTGACATGTGAAAATGTCAAATTTTTCATATTGTACTTACTTGTGTACTGCACTTTATTCACACCAACTCCTTTTGTTTCATTATCTCCTGCCACAGCAGTGACAGTTATAGTATACTCCACACCTGCAGTCAGGCCAGTGATGTCTTTGAATGGCTCAGTCACATTATCTGTTTTGGGGTCATTTCCACTAACCCACTGTACTATGTAGAAGGAGCGTTGTCCCTCTGGTTTAGTCCAGTTCAAATACATGGACGATGTTGTGACACCAGTAACAGTGAGTTTACTGATCTGTCCAGGTTCTGTTGGTTAAAGCAGAGACATAAAATAAAACATTCTGTTCTTAGACTGATCAGCAAAAACTATCATCTGCACTGGTTTAATTCCAACAGCCATGTGAGAGCTGTGTCCATCTGGTTCAGTCCACTGCAGTCACTGACAATTATGTGACAGCAGTAACAGATCATGCAGTAATACAGGAAGTGCTCCACTGTGTTTTTAAACTCTGTAAACCTTCACTAGAATCATTTGGATAATGTGAGCTCTGGAATTGTCAATCTCTAGTAAAACAAAGTTAAACCGCAGCTGTAAACCTGAAAACTACCGCTTCATGACAGAGCAGAGCATTTTGAGCTTTGGAGTAGTATCAGCAGAAAATGACTAACAGCATAAAAGCATCTAAATCATTACAAAGATCAGACATAGGAAAAGATCAGCAGTACTTATGTCATTTCATACTTACTTGTATAAACAGATGTGGTGACTCCTTCTCCTTTAGTGAGCCCATCTCCTGCCACTGCAATGACTGTGACATTATACTGCACCCCAGGGGTCAGAGCAGAGATTGTCACTGATGTAATTTGAACAGACGTATTTTTAGTTTGTCCGTCATCACCAGTCCATTTTACATCATAGCCAGAGATTTTTCCAATGGGTTTATCCCACTTTAGGCTCAGAGAGGATGTTGTGCTCTCAATGTTGAGGCTGGAGACTTTTTCAGGCTCTGTCAAACAAACAAACAAACAAACAACACAACAAAGATTCAGTTTCAAATTAGAAAATACATTGTAAAATAAAACAAAAAAGTAAAAGTAAAAAGTACAAACACTGTATCAAAAAATACAAAAAAGTAAAAAAAAAATCTACGTAAGTAAAAGTATTAAATTAGCAATTTAAAAGTTGCCTTTAAAGTAAAAGTTTCCATGCAGATTTTGAGATGTAATAAACTTTGAGCTTTGTTGTGCTGAATTTTGCTCAACAGAAACAATTCAATCAGTAGTTTTTGTCAAGCTGTTTTTATACATATATTTTTATAAGCCCAAACTACAAATGTGTTAAAAAATAAACCCTCAGCCTTTTAAACAGGTCACAAATATAATAAAAAAAATACTTTTACTTTTCAGTCTACTTGAAAAATGCAGTGGGGTAGAAAGTACAGATACTTGGCCTCAAATGTAGTGAAGTAAATGTAAAAAGTATCCACATTAAACTGTACTGAAGTAAAGTACAGGGTAACACTTTATTTTAAGGTACACTTATTAACATCTAACTACCCGCTAATCAGCATAGTTGTAGATGGTTAATTTGTCATTAATTAGTATTTATTCAGCCCTTAGTAATGTCTAACTCCTCATAAGCTTATTCTGCTAATAGTTAGACATTTATAAACACTTTCCTATTAACACACTCCTTCATACTGCTTATTAGTATGATACTAGGTCATTTTTGTCCTTGAATTGTTTTGAACTACCTATTCATATATGAACTATTAATATGCATGTCACAATACATGAATTAAGTGTGAAGAAGAGACCATATTTACTTTAATTTGTGTCAAACTCGTCATTTATTAACTACGATCAAAACATCACTTTAGAATGAGGAACACCTAATAGAGAGTGTTTTATTACACAAGAGTCAGCGAAATTTATCAAGTGCAAATAAGTCAAAACTACATTTCTTGTGCTACTAGTCCTTAGCAACACACTTATTACCAAAAGCTTATTGGAATCATAATTCATGGACAAAAATGGCCTAGTATCATACTAATAAGCAGTAATAATAAGGAATGTATTCGTTGGAAAATGTTTATAAATGTATAACTAATAGCAGAATAAGCATATGAGGAATTCAATATTAATAAGGGCTGAATAAATACTAATTAATGATAAGTGTACCCTAAAATAAAGCGTTACCAAGTACAGATACCTAAAAAGTATACTTCAGTGCAGTACTTTACTACTTTAACTACATTACGTTCCAACATTGAACATTCCAGAAAAAGCAAAAGCATCTTCAGGAGACAAGTTACACAGTTCAGTTTTGAGCATTAGACTTACGTGTTGTAACATTAAAACAACATGTAGTACTAGAACATTGGGCGTAAACGGAGTGTACAGCACCGGGCTCCAGAGGTTTTGCAACACTTGTGTAGGATTTTCCATTAATCGTCAGGTTACAGTTTTCTTCAGATGGTTCAATAGATGTATTTGTTACGGTGAAATTCAAAGTATTATCACAGGACACAACTGAAAATCAACAAAGTCAGACAATTATGAGCAAATATTATGAAGTGAATATTAAATATTATGATTTAGATAAGAGAAAATACTGACCATCCTTACAGTCGGACGCTTGACAGATCTGAAGAGAAAGCAGAAAGATACATTAAATGTGTTACACCAGCAGAGGGCAGCATTGAGTTTTAAATCTTTTGCAGCATTTCTTTGTTTAGACTTTGACATTTTTGTTCCACAAGAAAAAATATTTGGACACAGAAGCTCACACATCACTATATAATATAATAACAAAGAGCAAAAAAATATAAATGTTAATAATAAATAAAAAATAAGTAGTAGAAATAGCAAGAGGCTGGTGTTAAATAAGGTGTAATTATATCCTCCTGGGACCAAAAGAAAAAAAGAGTAATGCAATATATATTTTTTTTGTGATTTTCTATCTGTTTGGAGGTAAATGAACAGCTTAGCATTTAGATTTATTTTTTATTTATTTATAATTTTGTAACATGTCTGCATCTCATGTCTGCATCTCTGTAATGGACACCAGGGACATTTTGGTGTTTTCATTTATTTTATTTTATTATATTTGTTTTTTATTTATTTATTTATTTTTATGTATTTATTTTTATTTATTGATTTTATTTTATTGATTATATTATATCTATTGTATTTTATTTACATTTATTTATTTATTTTTATTATTATTATTTATTTTATTTTATTTATCCTAGTGCAGCCACAAACTAACTCCTATTGAGTTAGGAGTCTTGAAAGACTGGTTAATTTAATGTCCACTATAAAGCAGACACAAATGAATGGCCCGGGTACAAGTAAAATAAAATATAGTCATACAAATATCTCTCTCAAATCATATATAAGCCTACTGTTTACACTGGCACAACAGTCTGACTAACAAATATTTATCATGTGGTCAAACCTAAGTATTTATATTAGGAGTGGACAATATTAAAGGTGAGACTATGTTACGCATTTCGGATCTGTTATAATGTTGTTTTCTCAGCACAAACAAACCTGGAGTTGTGTTTTATTTCATTCACACGTTTAACACACAAATTCTGCATATTTAGGCTGAGTTCTTCCATCAAACAGGACAGAAAACACTACAGGAAGTGTTTTTAAACTCCATACACGATCACTAGAATCATTTGGATGATTTCAGACTTAGAAGTGTCAATATACTACTGAACAAAATGTAAAATGTAGCTGTAAACTTGAAAACTAACACTACTGTACATGCATTTTGAACTTTGGAGTTTTAAACAGACTAACAATAACTCCAGGTCTGTTTTTGAGGAGGTAACAGCATTATAACATGGCTTAAAACTCACAAAAGGCAATTTTCTGTAACATAGGATCTTTAAATAATTACTATATCTATGAATACGATCTCAAATATGCCATACATTTCTAAATAGAGGCACAAAAGGGACCTCAAAAATGCATAAATTAGCTCTGATCAGTTCTTTTTAGGCAGTGCACTCCAGAGGTGGGGACTTGCAAATTGTGACTTGGACTCGAGTCAGACTTGAGTGACTATTTTTAGGACTTGAGACTTGATTTGATAAAATGGACTAAGACTTGGGACTTGACTCGGACTTGAGGTCAGTGACTTTAGAAGATTTGGGAAGCACTTTTAAATCTAAATTCTTTTTATTCTGACCGATGATTCACTCTAAGATCTTATCAAGGCTTTTCAAGGAAAAATTTATATTTCTACAACTCTTATATACTCTATAAATATTCATATACAAATATACTGCGATTTTTTACGTACAATTTATTTTAAAATTCATATAAATTGCAAAAGTCTAAGCTATATTTGGTACTTTTTTGGTTTAAAGACTTGAAATGACTTGAAGCTCAAAGCAGACGACTTGGACTTGACTTGGACTTATGGGCCAGTGACTCGAGACTCGACTTGGACTTGCCTGTATTTGACTTGGGACTTGATGCTTCTAAAAATAAATATGATTTTAGAAAATACTTTTCTCTTTACAGTTGATAGACGCAGTACTGAATTTTAGGAACTGGAACATGTCCCTCCCACTTCTGCTTGTTACTCTGGATGGAACTGAAGTACTGTGATACTCAAAATGTACTACAGTAATATAGAGTACAATACAGTGCAGACTACTTCTTATATAAATATACCATGACTTTTTAGGTACAATTTAGTTTAAAAATTTAAATTCATATAAACAGCAAAAATCTAAGCTGTATTTTCTACTTTGGTTTAAAGACTTGACATGACTTGAAGCTCAAAGCAGACGACTTGGACTTGACTTTTACTTATGAGGCAGTGACTCGAGACTCGACTTGGACTCTCCTGTCTACGACTTGGGACTTGACTCGGACTTGAGGTCAAATTCTTGAGACTCACAAAACAACGACTTGGTCCCACCTCTGGTAAACTTCATACTCTAATGAAGCATATCTCCAAAATGACTATTATATTATATTATATTCTGTAGTTCAATAGCAGGATATCCTCTAAAGGTTTTGTAATGGGAAAATGAATGAATGTTATTGAGAATAAGGAAGTGCCAACATTAATATCTAAACCATTAAACCTACAAAAAAATACACCTATTCTTCCTGGAGTGATAAATCCAACTATTTAATTGGTCAAATATGTCAGCATGTTTAGGGTGGTTGTTGTTTTAACTCTTTAACTCTTGACTTCGAACTTCAAATAAACTGTCTGAAATGTACAGTGAGTGTGTTGTATGTATAGAGAGTGTTCTGGGGTTGTGTAATTTCATGTAATCGTTGCTGTACTTTTCCTCATCCTGTAGATGATTTCACATCAACCCGCCGAGCGACCGAAGATGGAAATTAGTCACGCTGCTATAATCTTTACATATTTACATTTTAAAAGGTCGTTAATATGTGCGGTTCCTTTACAAACATAAGCTCCAATAAAACACAAAATGGACTCTTTAATGGATTTTTAATATATAAACCATTGAAGCTACAAAAAAATACGCAAATTCTTCCTGGAGTAGTAAGTCCAGACTATTTCATCAAAAGTACAACTGTATATTACACAAAATGGATGTTGTTACCTCCTCAAAAACATACCTGGAGTTTTATTTTGTTTCATTCACACATGTTTGTATGCTCTGTTCCACCTTGTGATGTCATGAAGTGGTAGTTTTCATGTTAACAGCTCCTTTTTACCTTTACTTCAGTTCACAGATTTGCAATTCCAGAGCTGAAATTATCCAAATGATTCTAGTAAAGGTGTATGGAGTTTAAAAACACGCTGGAGCACTTCATTGTATTAGGCCTACCTCGTGACATCACAAGGTGGAACAGTGTGTTTTCAGTTTGAGAGAAGAAAGTTTGTGCGTTAAATATGTGTGAATGAATCAAAACACAACTCCAGGTATAAAAATTTTTTTAAAAAAAATTGTGTAATATGAACCCTAACCCTGTTTTTTGTTTTTTTGTGTTGTTTTCATTTTCCTGATCACACATTACTCATTAGCCCAAACCGAACAGCTCACACTCCGTCTGTTTACCACAAAGCTAAACATTAAACTGACTTTATAAACAGAGCCCGCGTTACTCTCACCTTCAAATTCCACAAAGGATTACATTACATCTCGCATTTACTCAATAACGTGGGTTTTCATTGACCTAAATTCTCGCATTCTTACTGTGTGCGGGCTTGCCTCTCCGCAGATCCGACATGTAACTTGGCCCTGGCGTCACCTACTGTCCCAGCATTTGTTTATTATGTCATTGCTCTGCCTGTAATGTTCCACAGTGTGACATTAAACAGCTCTACCTTACATTATTTATTCAATTACAGGTGGTTTTATTGCTCAAAAATACCAAAAAAAAAGAAAGAAAAAGCTTCAGGTGTTTTGACTGTGACTTGGTCTAGTTTGGTCTCCATGAAGATAGAAAGGTTCAATGCCAGACTGTGAACATAGGCAGAGTTTGCAGAGGTCAGAGTGTTCAACTACTCCCCTAGTGGCTGAAATATGTCATGACATTGAGTCTATAATATGGCCAATATAAATATTTACTTTTAAAAATTGTATTACCATATTTTTCGGACTATAAGTCGGACTTTTTTTCATGGTTTGGTTGGTCCAGCGACTAATACTCTGGTGTGACTTATATATTACAATTTTCAGACTGACAGCCACGAGAGGGCGCTCTAGGCTTGTGTGTCAGTTTTCTGTGCATGTCTCCTGCAGAAAAAGCTGCTGTCCTGCTGCAAATAGTGAAATATTCAGCCGCAAACAGTAAACAATCAGCAGAGAGAAAGTTTGGAATGAGCGAGAAACTTGTGAGGGGACAAGCGGAAAGCGAGGATGGAGAACACAGCTTCACGGGAACCAGGAGGGTGCATCATGTAACTTTCCTGGAAGTCACTGGATGGATCGACAAAGCCTGGACTTCAGTGACAACCGAATTTGCATGGAGTTGCTCAGAAGTGACAACCAGGATGAAGAATGTAATGGATTAAGTGATTTGGAGTGAGATGGAGAGTTTGGTAAACTTGTTCTGTTGTTTATGCTATAGTTATCTGAAGAACTGTTCATGTATGATGTTCTCTGATCTATTGTTGTTACTGTAACTTGCCTTTCAAGATAAAGATGTCAGTTCCTGGTCCCTGATTTTATCAAATAAATGTCCCCCAAAAAGTGCGAGTTATAGTCTGGTGCGACTTATATATATGTTTTTTTCTTCTTCGTTACACATTTTTTGGCTGGTGCGACTTATACTCCAGAGTGACTTATAGTCTAAAATATGGTAATATTTTAAATATGACAATTAAACAAAAGAATTGTATGAAATTAATATGAATCCTAGTCTGAACCAGGACTAAACCAGGACTGAACCAGGACTAATCTTGGACTTGAAAGAGAACCCTGAGCCCGTGGAGCAGGGTGTCCACAAAGCGCGATCGGGCAGCCACAGCGCTTAGCTCCACGGGCACGGATGCACCTCCAGGCCTGTCCCAACATTCAGTCTTGGTCCAGTCCTGGTTTAGTCCTGGTCCCTCATGTCTCAGGTCACTATAGGACAGTACTGCAGTTATCATGAGCCTATGCAGTTTTTTTCAAAATTGCCAGTAGCTCCAGT